CTCCTTTAACTATTACGTACGACAGAAGTCAATTGTTTTATAAAAAAACCCGCAAAATTCATGTAATATGATTAATAAAAATCGGGCCATTTTGTTATTAAGTGTAAAAACAAACAAAAACAATAGAAATTAATTAAAAATAATGCTGTGGTCAAATGCAAAATTTTAATGAAGTATTAAAAAAATAGAGAAAAAAATTTGTTTACAATAAAACATGTAAAAATATGGTGCACTGATAAAAAACAAAAGCTAACAAAACGAGTTTATTCCACTTTTTTTTAATTATGTAAAATTTCTAAATTATAAAAAATACACTTCCAAAAAACCCCCAATCAAATATATGGTCACCACCACAATAATAACAATTATTTAATTATTTAAAAAATAAATATTTTATAATAGTTTTTAATTATAGCTGAACTATTATATTTTTTTTTAAATTACCACTAAACATCCTATTTTTTTATTAGTTTATAATTTATTTTAATATAAAAAATAAAAAATATAGATAAATTTTATTCCTATACAAAAAACACGAAGCCGCAAAACTTTTATTAAAACAGAACGACCGTTATGATTATTGTTGAAAAACAACAAAAAAAAAAAAACGCAAAACACACACCTATAAAAAATCAAAGCAAAATAAATTAGTATTCGAAAAAAATTATGTAAAATATTTCAGAATAATATATATTAAAATATTGTTAATATACAAATAATTAGCAATTATTATTTTTTTTTTTTTAATTTATTGAGTTATTTTATTTTAGATTTTTTTTAGTTCCAAGGTCTAAAAAATGTTTTTGCAATGATTTATATATGATGTATATCTAAAATAAACTTCTCTTGCTACAACGATAAATGATAAGCAGGGAGGAAACCAGAATAAATAAACAATAAAAAAATAAATTGTCAGGGTGGGGAGATAAACAAAAAAAATAATCATTCTTCATTCATTTTCACATCAGCAACTCTTGACTAAAAATTAAAAAAGAAAAAAAACAACACTGAAAATAACAACTTCTATAAATATATAAATTAGTTAATAACTAATCACTAGCTATTACTACTCATGTTTTTTTGGTGTGGTTTAAAAAACAAACTGAAAAATAAAACAAACAAAAAAAAAAACCATACGATTGTTAAAAAAGCTAAGCAAAGCAAAAAAACAAATCCATACATAAATAAGTTAAGTTAAAAAAATAAAATAAAAAAACTTAATCTAACATACAAGCATAACTTGAATAATTAATAACTCACTCACACACACCCACTAAACAATAAACAAGAAACAATTGAAAATAATAAATGGAAAATATATACAAAAAAATTAAAACAAAAAAATATGTTCTCTTTTTTTGGTGGTTAAAAAAACTAAAACTTATTCTGTATGCCTAAATAACTGAAACTGTTGTAAATATATATAACCATAATATAAACACTCATAAATATATGCTTTAAAATTTAATTTAGCTTTATTTTGGTTTATATTTTTAATTTGTTTATACTTCAACACATAGAGTTGTTCTAAATATTCGCCTCTCAATAACAGTTAAATATTTGCATTTATTTTCGTATGTGACAGATCATGTTCACCATAATATTTATTATTGTGAGGACAGTAATCGACGAAAAAAAATTTCAGCAAAAACTAATAGTGTGTACTTGCCTTTAATTTATCAACACTTTCGTGAGAGGTTTTATTTAACCAAGGCCTATTTAAAACGTCATCCAGGGAGAGATCAGCTGCTTCTCTAATTTGCTGTCATCATCCAGCAAATTTGAGAAGCATTAATAGTTGGTATGTTCCCGTACTGCAATAATCTACTATTTTTTACTCCGATAACACTTTTCCTTTATGATATCGAAGAAAATAGTAAAATGGAGTAGATTCTTGCAGTACGGGAACAGACCAAGTGTGTACCCGCCTTTAATTTATCAACACTTTCGTGAGATGTTTTATTTAACCAAGGCCTATTAAAAACATGTTCCAGTGAGATTAGCTGCATATCAGCTTCTTCTTAAGTTTACAGCCAATTAACTTTACATTATGAAAACGTTAACAAAGTCAAAATTTTTGATATTAGCCTTGAGAAAAACAAAAAAAATTTAATCCCAACTAAGAGTGTGTACCCGCCTTTAATTTATCAACAATTTCGTGAGAGAGGGTTTATTTAACCAAGGCCTAATAAAAATGTCATCCAGGAAGATCAGCTGCATATCTGCTGCCTCTCATGTTTGCTGTCAAAATTCTTTATTGTGAATTAACTTTACATTATGAAAACGTAAACAAAGTCAAAATTTTTGATATTAACTTAAAAAAACAGCTGACTTTCGCTTGATTTAATTCACAATAATTCATTGTCAGTAATCTATAATAAAAAAACTTAGTCCCAACTAAGAGTGTGTACCCGTCTTTAATTTATCAAAATTTTCGTGAAAGGTTTTATTTAATCAAGGCCTATTAAAAAGGTCATACAGGAAGATCAGCTGCATAACTGCTGCTTCTCAAATTTGCTGTCATAATCCATTATTGTGAATAAACTTTACATTATGAAAACATAAACAAAGTCAAAATATAAATCTTTAGACATTAGAAAACGTAATTAAAGTCAAAAATTTTGACCTTAGACTTGAGAAAAGAACAGCTGACTTTCGCTAGTTGGTGAACTTATTAAAATAAATTGATTCATGGTTGTTGCACTATCAGTAATTGATATAAAAACTGTCAGTTCAAACTAATAGTGTGTACTCACCTTATCTATACTTTCGTGAGAGGTTTTATTTGACCAAGGCCTCTTAATAATATTGTCATTCAGGAGATCATGAAGATTACCTTCATTTTGAGTTTGCTGTCAGCTACATATCAGCTGATTCTCAAGTTTATTGTCAAAATCCATTATGAATTGATTTCGATTATTAAAACATAAACAATTTCCAAATTTTTGACATTAAATTTGAGACAAAACTGCTGACTTTCGCTTGTTGGGTGACCTTATGAAACCTACACTTTCGTGAGAGGTTTTATTTTACCAGGCCTATTAAGTAAATACATTATAATGAATTGACTCACAAGAAAATAACGAAATACGAGGGCAGTTCGGAAAGTTCTTAGCCTAGCACTGAAAGCGCGGTATAAACACAAAAATGTTAAGTGTTGTGGAACTTCCATATCTGTTATGAACATATGTTAAATATTGTTTCGATCTGGCAGCTCCTTCATATATAAACAGGTGTTCAAAAAAGACGCATCCGCATTTTTTACAATGGAAGAATTAAAAGAATTGCGGATGTGTCTTTTTTTAGACATGTTTAAAACATTTTTCTATATGAAAGATTTATTAACAAATGTTAAATTTTGTTTTGATCTGGCAGCTCCTTCATATAGAAACAGTTGTTCAAAAAAGACGCATCCGCATTTTTTACAATGGAAAAATTAGAAATGCCTGTTTTCATTGTAAAAGAATTGCGGATGTGTCTTTTTTGAACACCTGTTTCTAGAGGAAAGAGTTGCCAGGTCGAAACAAAATTGGAACTTTCCAAAAAGCATAACTTGTTTCTGTTTATACCGCACTTTCTGTGCTAGGCTAAGAACTTTCCGAACTGCCCTCCTAACGTCCAAATTCTTGACATATAACAAGGAAATAACAGCTGTTTTCCCCGCTTACTATTTGACATACCATTTGTAGTAGGTACCTATTATAAAATGTACGTATGCCTATTATAAAATATTTCTATATGTTCCTAATAAAAAAAATTAATTGTTTAATGGGAATGAATTTGGGGTATTATGTGAACATTGTTTAATAATTACGTATGCCAATTCATTCGATTTAAAATTCCTTGACGTCGAATAAAATCCTTTCAATTTGAGAGGGAGTCGCATAAAATAATTTGAAAATTTTAAATGAATAATGAAGAACGGCGTCAGAACAAAAAAAGGACTCAGATATTACATTATAATTTGACATTTAATAATAAGCAATACATCTGGTGTAAAGGGGCCCTTATATTAAATAATTTAATTATAAACAACTTTAATAAGCAATGTATCCGATGTAAATGGGTCCTTATATTACGTATTGAAAATTAGAGTAGATTGTCAATGTTGCTATGGAATTGACTTTTGAAATAGAGTGGCTTAAAAATACGCTTTAAAATCAAGTCGATTAACAGAATCCAGATATACAACCTCACCGTTTATACATGCCTTCAGATGATGAACATATGCCATTCAGCTGTTGATTGTTGACATATACACACACAATGGAATACATTAATGTTCATTTAAAAAATTTAAATAAATAATGGAGAACGGCGTCAAAACTAAATTAGGACTCTGATATTCCATTTTAATTTGACATTTAATAATAAGCAACTGCTTTTTTTTGCACAAAACCAGGGTTATATTTTATTTGCTCCGTGATTCACAACATAATTTAAAATAAATCGAGATGATATATTTGTGTATGATTAATCATGAAAAATATATCATGATGTAGGAAATAAATGTTTTAGTGTAAATCTATTTAAAATTTGCCTTATTTGCGGTTTATTCACATGTTCATTTGTGGTCGAAATTTAGAGCAACTCTGTGCATGACAAAAAAATTAACACTTTTTCACCAAATTTGCTTTATTTACACACAATTACGCACACATACACCAACACACACACATAATAACAGCAATTCATAACATTAAATTGTTTATAATCTCCACAAAACTATGTTTATACTAGCATGATTAACTACTTGATTTATTGACTATTTTAATAAATCAACTTAATATAAACATAGGTGTATATATAATATAATACATATATTTACAACAGTAAAATAATTAATTATTATCAGGCAGTGTGGACAAAAAAACTTTCTCTAAATGAAAAATATATATTAAAAATCCAATTAAACAGCTACCGAACCTCAACCTCATCGTGTAATTTATTTGAATTTGTTTTTTTCGCAAACATATTTTTTTTCTTTGAAAATATTATAGCAGCAACTCTAATACCGAAGAATCCGCTAAGCCCCGGGTATTGCGTTTTACGTGGTCAATGAAAACAACCTCACCTTTGATGCCAGATCAAATAATGCAAAAGATTAGAGAAGTGCTCGATCAAAATAACTGTGACTATGAACAACGTGAAAGGTAGGGGTTTAAAATTTTTAAAAAAAATTTCAATAATTTTAAATTAAAATTTTGTATACTTCTATTTTTTAAAAGGTTCGTTTTATGGTGTGTTCATGGAGATCCAAATACCGATTCATTGGTACAATGGGAAATTGAAGTTTGTAAACTTCCACGTTTGTCTCTGAATGGAGTTCGTTTTAAACGCATTTCTGGTAAGAATACGATTGGAAACAAAGGCCTATAAATAAGGTCATCCAGGGAGAACAGCTGGATATCAGCTGCCAATTTTGCTGTCAAAATTCATTATTGTGAATTGACTTTCATTATGAAAACGTAAACAAAGTCGTCCAAATTGTTGACGATAGACTTGAGAAAAAAATAGCTGTTTTCCGATTTCGATTGCTAACTGGGTGACCTTATTAATAGATCAAGGCCTATAGATAAGGTCACCCAGGGAGACCAGCTGGATATCAGCAGCCACTCAATTTTGCTGCACTATTGTGAATTGACTTCCATACCATAAACAAAACAAACGTAAAAAACAAAAAAAACAGCTGTTTTCCGATTTCGATTGGGTGACCTTATTAATAGATCATGATTGAAATATTTAATGTAACTATGTTCTCACAATTTGTTTTCCACTCTCTCTTCCTTATATACAGGTACTAGTATAGGCTTTAAAAATATCGCTTCACGTATTGCGTTCGATCTACGACTGTGATTCTGTCAGGAGAAGGGAGAAACTCTAAATAAAATACACGATTCTACTACCGTATGAAATAAAAATGAAAACCGTAACATCAACCAACAACAACAACAACAATAAAAAGGAACATGATGGAGATTATCCCCCGAAGAAATTCTTGTGAGAATAGAAAAGTCCCCAGTTGATTATCCCCGCGAAAGAAAAAAACCCCATAAAATTAAGATGAAAGAAATAGAAATATGGATCTAAGTAAATCGATAAATAAAAAACACAAATCTACTAAACATACACACAAAAAACACCCACACACTCATATTCATTCATTTCAAAAAAATCATAACAATTATTTCATATTCTAAAGAAAACTAGGATTTTTGTTTTTTGTGCAACAGTTGTGTAAACATATCATGAATTTCTTAAATCACTTTAGTTTAGTTCAGATCTCATGAAATGAAGTAGTCTCAGACGATTTTTAATCGAAAAATCTGGCATTTTTAAAATGATTTTGTCTTAACTAATTTGATGTGTGGCCATGTTACCCTAAGAAATTCATCATATGTTTCAATTGTAAAGTGGGCTACACACAATGGAACAAATTGAATTTTTTTTATGAAATTAAATTGTTTTACAGAGCTAGAGAATAAAGAAATCAGAGTAACATGGTTCTCATTTCCTTATTCTCTTAACCATAGTAACAGATTTTAGGTTTCGGTAACTTATTATTGATAGAATTAAGTCCAAGACTGATTTAAAATACGTTTACACACACTTCAAATATCATGATTAATTTGACGTTTATTGTATGATGTAATATATGTCAAATATATCTAGATTATCACTGCAATATGCGTAAATATTAATCGTATATATTGTAAAGGTGTCTACACACTATCAGTTTTTTAATGGCAGTTCTGTCTAAAATTTGTTTCTTTGACAGTGTGATCGTTTGTGTTTACAAATTATCATGGAAAACTGCCATTTTAAATTGCTAGTGTGTATTGGTCTTAATTTTGTGATTTATTTTCCAATTATGCAATGTCCGTTGTTGTGTAGCCCACATAAAAATCCTAGTTTAGCATCATTCAAGCATCCATAATCCCAATCCTCACTACTTTCCTTCCTTTACAGAAGACCCACCATTCTCCTTTAGACACGCACACTTATCAATACCTCTCTCTCACACACACCAACACACATTCATTCTTCATACATATGTAGAAAATTGCAATCAAATTTGTTAAATTATATAATATTATTATATATATACATAAATAAAAATACATAAACACACACATACTAAAATACAGACATAACATAAAAATACATACACACACAGACATATAAACTACATATATTATTGTATTATGTATGAAAAATGTATGTGCAGATTTTAATAAATGCATAAAGAAAACAAAAAATATTTAAAAAAAATATATATACAAACACATACACACTCTCTTCTATCCAAAAAAAAAAAAAAAAACAATAGAATTCTCCCCCGTGTTACATTTTAAGAAATCAACAAAACAAATCTAAAATTTATTCTATATAAACAAAATACAATTAATTTAAAATACAAAAACAAAACTCTAAAGCACAAACAGTAACAACAACAAACAAACAAAATATAAACATTTTTTATTGAAACAATCAAAAACAAAATAAAAAATCATTTAAAAAAACAAAACACACATTCTAAACCTACCATAAGACACACGTTTGACAAGAAAAACCCCCTACTTCATACAAAAATATCAATTGTTATTTGAAAACGAAAATAAAACCAGACAAAAAAATAGCAACAACAACAACAAAATATACAATACCCTTATTGACAACAAAAAAATCAAACGACAAAGGAACAAAACATTTTTTTGAAATTTATTTTTATTTGTTTTAAAATGTGAGTTAGAGAAAAAGATTAAGTAGAAAATATAAATAATGTCCAATGGCACACAGGTGTATTGAATTAAGTCACGTTTAGACTATGCATTCTAAATCGAATTGCTAAATCACAGCTGAAATGATTTAAATTCAATCAGCTGATACATACACATATTTATTAAAAAATTTCATTATTTCATTCTTTTCCTTGCTGTCATTCTTTTCCTTGACAAACTATTTTGAATTTTAAGTGATTTTGAATATTAAAGTAAACAATAAAACACTTTAACCTTTTGTTACTTTTAGAAAGGTTAATGTATTTTACAGTGTTGTATTGAAATTATCTCGATTATGCAAAATGATTTCGGGATAATTGAATTTTATTTTGTATAGCAAATTGAAATAAAATCGATTTAATTTGTAATCAATTTTATGCACAATACGAAGACAGGTATAGTCTAAACACATCTTTACATTCTGGTTTAAACATTTCATTACACGATTTGGCATATTCCCTCGGAAATGATATATTTCGAGAATAAATTCAACCGATCAATATGGCATCCCTAATAAGTGTTTGTTTCGCATCTTGTGTACCCTAATAATGTACAAATTTTATGAGAATTATATCAAGATTAATTAATAAGGTCACTCAGCTGGCATACTTTGAATTCGTTTACGTTTTTATAATGTCAAAGTCAATTTTGACTGACAGCTGATCTTCGCGGATGACCTTATTAATAGGCCTTGGACAAATAAAATCACCAATTAGATGATGTATCAAAACAAAAAAACTTTGCTTTTGTCTCGACCCTCTGTCAAATTTTCCTTATAATATTTCACATGGTTGGCAACATTGCACATCGAATTCAAGTAGAATTTACGCACTTTGAGAGTTAATCAAGATATCAGCTGCTCTAAAAGGACTACCTAGCAAGCGAAAGTCAGCTGTTTCCAAGTCCAATGTCAAAAATCTAAACGTTTTTTACGTTTTCATAATGGAAATCAATTCACAATAATGGATTTTGACAGCAAACTTATGAAGCAGTTGATAGCCAGCTGGTGTCTCTGGACGACCTTATTAAAAGGCTTAGCTAAATACAGCAGATTAGGGCTATAATTTACATCGAAACTATTTAAATAAAAAGCGTAAAGGTTAAAAAATAATCAAATCAAAATAGTCTGTTTAAATGGTTAAATTTTATCAGTCAAAAAAAATACAACTTTACATATGGTCTGTTCCCGTACTGAAAGAATCTACTAGTTTTTACTCCGACAATAATTTTTCCTCTATAATAGTTCCGTTTCAGAACCTAAAAGAATCTCCTTGTTTTACAAGTTTTTACTCGAAAACCGTTCCTGAACCGACAAAACTGGTAAAACATTGAATACCAAAACAAAATGGCTTTCTCTTTGTAAACTTTTTACTCTGCTTCTGATTGACTATTATGTTGAAGTATGTTTCCCTTGTTTTAATTTTTTTTTTTTTGTACTAGCTTTACTATTAAAAAGTACTGGAACAGACCAAATATCAAAAAAAGATTGTAAAAATTAGTAGATTCTTGTAATACGGGAACATACCAATAGTTTTTACTCCACTTTAAATGGCGTTTACACAAGATAATTTTTGTGTAGCCCATACATGCCGATACTTATATTTAATTCATAGCGCGTTTAGACACTACTAAATCCACTCGATCTCAAACGTAAATTTCATTGCCTATACCTCACCTTTATCATGTTCACAAATTCAGTGGATTATATTTGGCATATACGCTATGGAATTGACATATGAGATCGAATAGATTTCGCAGATTTACAAAATTCACTCGAACGCACTTTTATTTCAATAAAACGCAAAAATCGACAGTTTTCTGCATTTTATTTCTTCTGATAATAAAATATATTTTTTAAAACTGTACATCAAAAATCAAAACAATAAACCGTTTATATCTATAAATGATATAATTTTTGTTTATTTAATTATTTTTCGTTTGATTTTTCATTTCGTTTTTTTTTACAAGGGTTCTTATTCTATTTCATTGTGAATGCTTTTACTTCGATAAATATAAACCAAGATATTAAAAAAAGTTATAATGGACTTGTGTAGTTTTTTCTTAAATAAAATCTAATCAAACATTTTAATCTGCTCCCTTGAATTTCTCCCAAAGTGTATCATAAAGAAACAGAACTGTTACATATGAAACGTATATAGCTGTTAAATAAATAACGATAGAAAACGGATAAAATGTTTACATATATGCAGTAAACATTATTTTGACATATTTATTTTAAGAATATAAAAATTAAATCAAAATAATTAATTTTGCATATATATAAACATTTGGTCTGATCCCGTACTGCAAGAATCTACTCGATTTTACTATTTTCTTCGATATCATAAAGGAAAATTCGTTATCGTAGTAAAAACTTGTAGATTCTTGCAGTACGGGAACATACCAATTGTCTCCAAAACCCTTAGAACTTCGAATAACAACTCCCAAACAAAAGAAGAAGAAATATACGATTAAGAATTTACAAAAAAAAAAAAAAAAACGATGATCAAATACTCAACATACTCACACCACAAACACATATAAATACAATAAAAACATTACATTTGTAATAATTAGTAACAAAAAATAAAAAACAATTACGAAATAGTTAAGCACATTCTGTGAAAAAGAAAACCAAACCACAAACAACAAAAATGAAACCTTACCTGCATTTCATTGAATTCCTACAAAAAATATATATAAAACAAATAAGGCCCACAACCTTAGAAAAAATCTCTCTAAAGGAAACTCAAATATAAAAGGACAAACCAGAAAACTCCCATAAGATGCGCAAATCCCGCAACAACATCTACAGAAAATTTAACGAAAAACAATAAAAAAAACTATTCAAAACATCTGTATTCTTCATTACATATTCACATTTAAAATAAATAAAACAAGAAAAAACATCATTAATGAATGTAATCAAGATTCGATGTGGTTTTATGTTTGGTTGACAAGGATTTTGAAACATGAAAAGAGAGGTAAGTTTTAATTTCAATTCCAAATTTAAAAAAAAAAAACCTAAATTCCAGCTTGAGGTGAATAAAAAATAAAAACAACTATGTAGGTAGTGGCTTCTTCTGTCAAATATTTTTTGTGCAACAGTTGTGTGAACATATCATGAATTTCTTAAATCACTTTAATTTATTCAGATCTCATTAAGTGAAGTAGTCTCAGACGATTTTTTTTTATCAAAAAATCTACCATTTTTGAAATGATTTTGTCTTAACTAATTTAATGTGTGGCCATGTTACCCTATGACATTCATAATATGTTACAATTGTAAAGTGGGTTACACACAATGGAACAAATTGCATTTTTTTATGAAATAAATTTGTTTAAAGAGATAGATAATAAAAAATGAGAGTAACATGGTTCTCATTTCCTTATTTTCTTAACCATAATAACGGAATTAAAGTAGGTTTACACCAGTGTTGGGAAAAACTAAATTGAGAGCAAGTGTGTGCGAGCGTAACTGAGAATTCAAAATTAAAAACGACTGACGTTAAGAGGCAAAAGGGAACATGTGTTTACCCATCGACCCTCAGTTACGGTAGCGTATGTGGATAAGCATGCCTGGTTTACACACACATGCTTCAAATGCCATGATTAATTTGACGTTTATTGTATGATATGCGTATAAATTAATCGTATCTATAGTAAAGGTGATTGTGAGACCACAATCAGTTTTTAATGACAACTTACACAACAATTGATTGTGTTTATTTCACAATAACCAAAAACGAGAAAAAATAATGAAAGGTTATGAGTTGTTCATAAAATCCAATAGGGAATACAATTATGGGCCCTATATACTATACATCAAGCAGTCATGGCAATAATCCAAAATTAATCCAAAAAATAGGGTTTTCCCAAAAATTTTAATCGAAAATTCAATTATTTTTTATTTCGTCGCAATTTATTGACAACTATTAAAATGAATAAAATTCACTTGATTGATAGCATTCCATTTTCAAAACTATTTGGATCATGACCTATAAATAAGATATCCCAAGGAGACCAGCTGTATATCTGTGCCACTCAAGTTTTCTGTCAAAATGCATTATTGTGAATTGACTTCCATTATGAAAATTTAAACAAAGTCGAAATTTTTGACATTAGACTTGAGAAAAAACAGCTGTTTTCTGATTTCAATTGCTACCTGGTTGACGTTATTAATAGATCTTGATTTGGATTTTCTTCATGCCCCGTGTGTGTCATATATACATTAATAAAGTTTCAAAAAATTACACCTGCTATCATAAATCCTGTACAGCTTGATGTATAGTGTATGGGACTCTTTAAATATTTGTTTCATCCATAACAAAGTAACTACTTCCAGACGAACACGTTTTTAATTTAATTAAATTTAATTTTTTTAATTCATGGTATTTAAAACAATGCACACACTTAACCAAAATATGTGTTTTCATTTGATAGAAAGAACAGGCCTCTTTGAAAAATGGAAGAAAATGGCGCCCAAGCTCAAATTTGAATTTGATAATCCATTATAAATGTACTTTTATTACGATGATGCTTTAAGAGGTATGAATAAAATATTTTCTTTTATTTCTTGCAATTTTCTCCAGCTTGGGTTTGTTGCAGTTTATTATCCCGGTACTAATAATTTTTTTACGTTTCTTTAAAAACAAATCAGTTTTAATCCATTTTTGACACTTGCCACACATTTTCATTGAAGAAATACCATTCATTCTCTACTGTGTGACAGCACCACTAGGCATTCACAAGGTAATGTCTACATGAGTAACTAACATACTTCATGGAATGTTGCCAGATTGTCAGAAAAAGTAACGGTCTCTTTAAAATATTTTTAATTTATATCTAATAAATATAAATAACTAATTATTTATTTAAATTATATTTAATATAAAAGTGAAAAATAATTTTGTCCGCTACTTCTCTCTCAGATAAGGACAGTGTTTAGTTGTTTTTTAACCGCCTTTGTTTGTATCTCTCTCTCTCTCTCTCTGGCCACATCGTCTTTCGTTTCTCTGTATGTGTGAGTATATGTGTGTGTTCTCAGCTATGCTCCATCCCACCTCATTCGTAAACAATTCGGTTCTCATTTAGTCTCTATCCCACCTCATTCGTAAATTTTCGGTTATACCACTTTGACTTCTTCTTTATCGGCCGTTTGATCTTCTTCATTCGCAGGTGGAACGTTTTTCGATTTTTCTTCAGTCGCTGGTAATAACAACAACCACAGCAATTTGTTATCATCCAAATCATGGTGTAAAAACATATCAAATAGTTTTTTTTTGGTGATAAGACAACCCACAGAAAACGCGGTTAATCTTCCGGCAACAGAATGCTGAATAAATTTGCGCTCATACGCAATGAGTGCCAACAAAATATCTACGTGGTGTTGTTGTTGTCGACATTGGTGTTGACAGGCATTACCCTGTACAATGCCTTTTATAAGGCGCATCGATTGCATGGTGAAGATAATTTTAATCGCATATCGCTGGATCTGAATGAAATTGCAGAGGTACGCCTGACAGAGTCCATTGATCGTTCAAGGCCGCGACGTGATAATTGTACAATATGGACGTGCATGGATCCATACAGATGTGGCCATGACCATATAACTGTGTATGTATATCCCCTGCAAGAATATATCGATGCCAATAGTGGAGTGGAAGCGGCACCCTTGACACAGGAATTCTATCAGATTTTGGAAACAATTGTCAAGAGCCCCTACTATACAACAAATCCCAATGAGGCTTGCCTGTTTGTGCCCAGCATTGATTTGATTAATCAAAATAACATTAATTTGGATTTGGTAAATCGTGCTCTGGCTTCGTTGAATTACTGGGATGATGGACGGAATCATTTGTTGTTCAACATGTTGCCGGGTGTGTATCCCACATTCAATACGGCGCTGGATGTTAATACGGATCATGCCATGATTGCTGGTGGTGGTTTCGATTCATGGTCTTATCGGCATGGTTTTGATATATCAATACCGGTATGGAGTCCACTGCTGCGTAAACATCCAGTTACCACAGTGTATAGTGGTGGTTCGGCGGATTATCTGTTGCTTGTGGCCCAATTGAATATTTTACCCAAAATGATGTGGATTCTGCAAGGTTTGGCCGAGGAGAATTCCAAGGATATTTTACTGTTGCAGCAGTGTAATAGCAAGCCATCGCGGAAAACAAGATGTTTGGCGGGGGACAGTGGCCATGAGATCTCATATCCCAGTGTTTTGCTGAAGGGAACCTTTTGTCTTTTGGGTCCTAGTTTGCGGCTAGGTAATCCAGATCTTTTGGAAATGTTGGCATTCAACTGTATACCGGTCATTGCTGTGGATAGCTATATTTTGCCCTTTGAAGATGTCATCGATTGGTCATTGGCCTCGGTGAGAATACGTGAAGCCGATATCCATTTGGTTTTGGATACGCTGAAAAGTATATCCGCCGAAAAGACAGAGGAAATGAAGCAACAGGGTCGCAGATTATATGAAAATTATTTTAATAGTATACGAACCCTGACATTGACCACTTTGGAGTATATACAATGTCGTATGTTTCCACATATGGAACGTAATAAAAAACATTGGAATTTTGTGGATAGTTCAAATGGTGTAGCCTTGAATCCATTGTTCTTGTCACGGGTTGTCAGTCGCTCGGATGGTTTTACTGCGGTCATTTTGACCTATGACCGGGTGGAGAGTTTATTTTTATTAATTGAAAAATTGTCCGTGGTGCCATCACTGCATGCCATATTGGTGGTGTGGAATAATCAGCAGAAAGCTCCGCCTCTATGTAAGTAAATTTGTGAAAATATTAAAAATTTCCATATGAATAATAATATAATACTCCTTTGCAGTATCCAGCTTCCCAGCCATATCCCGCCCCATAAAAGTAATACAGACCAGCAACAATCGGTTATCGAATCGTTTCTATCCCTATAAGGATATTGAAACTGAGGCCATTCTAACCATTGATGATGACATTAATATGCTTACCGAAGATGAAGTGGAATTTGGGTAATTAAAATTAAATCCGTTTCTCTTTAGATTTAAAAAAAAAATAAAGTCTTTATTTTTTTATAGCTACGAAGTATGGCGCGAATTTCCCGATCGCATTGTTGGCTTCCCCAGCCGCCTACATGTTTGGGAAAACATGACCTCCCATTGGCGTTACGAATCGGAATGGACAAATCAAATATCTATGGTGTTGACGGGGGCCGCCTTCCATCACAAATACTGGAGCCATATGTACACCTATCGTATGCCTGAAGTCATTAAAGATATTGTCGACGGCCGTATGAATTGTGAAGATATTGCTATGAATTTCCTTGTGGCCAATGTCACAAATAAACCACCCATAAAAGTTACGCCACGCAAAAAATTCAAATGCCCCGAATGTGCAAATAATGAAATGCTTTCGGCTGATTTAAATCATATGCGTGAACGATCACGTTGCATCGATGAATTTACACATATTTATGGTCGTATGCCATTGAGGACGGTGGAGTTTCGTGCTGATCCGGTATTGTTTAAGGATAATTTCCCTGAGAAATTGAAACGTTTCAGTGACATGGGAACACTTTAAGACAAGTGGTCCTAAAAGAGAGAAATAGAAGATGGTGTTTAAGAAAAGCCAAAGAAACGAAAATACATATTATTAGTGGACACATTTTTTTTTAATTTTAAGCTTAAATTAGTTGTAGTTGTTTGTTTTTAGTTGTAATTTAATACATATAATATAATGATTAACATATAATCGAATAAAATTCATTCCATTGGACTTAATACTCAACTTAAAATGTGATGAATTTTTCTTTTTATTTTTTTGTAATGATATTCCGTTTTGGTAGAATGCGAACTTAACAATTTATCGAAGTTTATTCTAATATTAAATGTTGATTAGGAAGGCCTTCAGGATAATTTTAGAGGGCGATTTTATTAAATATTTGATTATATTTGATTATAACTTTGCAATGCTGCTGTATCACCCCTATTGCTTTATACAGTTGGCTGAGGTGACAGACGTTAGACGAGTATAACTCGGGTCGTTTCGGATAGTAGACTCTCTATCGTGGGGTATAAGTGGGTTGCGTCGATATTTTTGTCTATATGCCTTGCTATCGAGATTTGTTCCACTCCGAGGACTTGCTATTCGAATTACCTGTTTTGAAAATTAAATTATTTTAATTACGAAATCTTATCGATATTTTATTTGTATGTTCACCTACACATAGAGGACATATATTAAATTTCGAAGTACTAAGTAGATTAAAAAGTTTACACTTGGACCATGATGACATTGATAAAGACCATGCTTCCTGAGATACGGACATTCATAGGTACGTACCTCTGTATTATGTAATAGGGTTTAAGGCTGAGTAGCATACTGTTGTTGTTGTAGCAACTTATTACTCCAACTCCAGTTTCAAAAAGGTGGCGACCTTTATAGCTTGAGTCCATAGTGAAAATGGGGTTAGGTTCAGGTGTTTTATAGGTCTGTTGACAAAGAGTTTGTCTTTTGTACATCGGGGCCAGGTTATAACTCCTGGCCAATATATTTTAGATGGTCAATGAAAATACCGCTTCTGTAGAACCCAAACAGATATTGCATCGACAACATCTTCTTGGTTTGACGTATAGGAAAGTTATTTGTCTCCTCCTGTAGGTAATCAATCGTAGACATGACGAGAACCCCTGCTACAGTCCTCAGAGCGGTATTAAATGTTTTTCCAGAGCCACAGACCAACCAATTACCCTACTGTTCGTTTACAATGGGCTGAGGGTACTCCACGGCCTTTTGGAAAGTTTGTTTTTGTTTTTTAAGCGATTCACAGATTTAAAGTCAATGCAATGTCTTCAACGGACACACATCGACTTTTGGCTATGTCCTTAATACATTAATAAATACAATAACAAAGTTCGGAGGCACTTAACGGATTTCGGAGACCTATATCACCCATTTTCAATGTAAACAAACATCAGCTGTTTGCAATTTAAATAATCTCTAATTAAATGTGAATACTAATCTCGATTTTTTCACTACACCACTTAACATTCCATTATTTTTCCGATAGTCATTTTTAATTAAGAAAAAATCAATAATCTTGAGCTTATATTCATGAAAATAAAATATGACATAATAAGACACCGTTATAGAGTTGCATTTTTCTTATTTTCTTCAAAATAATTATACATATTTTTTCTATTGTGCAAAATTCTTTTTAAACTTTTCTTTCTGATACTAGTTATTTTACGTAAACAAACATCAGCTGATAGCTATTTGAAATAATGTCTAAAGTTAATGTGAATCCTGGTCTGCATTGTTTTCGTGATCATATAAAAAATGTCTAATGTAAATGTTCTATCTCATATGACTCAAAAGTTGCATGCCTGTTTAGCAAGGGTATTCACTCACTGCCACTCATTTCATGCATGTACAATCTGGCAACCCTCCCAGTTTTACATCTACATCGTTTGCAGCGCAAATAACGGCTCATTCTGCAAACTTTGAATTTCGTCGAATATTCTTTTATTGCGTATTTTCATTTTCAATTTTTATTCCATTGTGTGTAGTTTATTTTGCTAAAACGAAAAGTTTATTGAAATCAATTATCCCGCAATTATGTCGTCGGTGACAAATCAAATTTTACATTCTTACATCTCGGAACAGTTGAATAATTTCAGTCGCATCGACAAAAGATGCTGCATCAAATTTATGGGTTATTTATTTGCCATTGATCCACAATTTTTTGCCAAAATTGTCAAGGATTTACGTTTACGCCTGCGTCCACATATCGATAATAACGGCCAGGAATCGGTTATTGTGTTTAAGGAGAAATGTTCACACAACACGGTGGAGATAATGGATTTGAAGGTGACAACGGAATCGCTAAAGGATATGTATATGTTCCACTGCGGTTCAGAATTTTGTGGTAGCCAACAGGAATTTGAAATGTCGGCGGAATTTTTTAGTCCCGGCAATGTACCACCCACGGTGCCACCACATCGTTTTTCATTGGGTCCCCTCAAGCAATCCATTGCTCGATGCAATGAAATGGGCCAGCAGAGCTTTCAAATGAAATGTCCAATGCAACCATACAAGGAGGTGGTTCTGAATGCCTTATCGCGCAGCCGGGTGGTGGTGATAAATGGTGGTGCAACATTTGGCAAATCCACCGCCATACCCATGTACATCATTGAGAAATGTAGCGAGGAGAAGCGACACTGTAAAATCATATGTGTGGAAAGGGAACAATTGGTCGCGATACACAACAGTGAATTACTGGCTGGCCATTTCCACGAAAAGGTCGGTGAAACTGTGGCCTATCAGGTCCAACTACAAAGTCGCATTAGTGATTCATCGAATCTAGTTTATACCACATCATGTTTCCTATTACGTGTCCTAATGGGCCAATCAATTGTGGATAGCTTTCGCCATATCTCCCATCTGGTGGTTGTCGATGCCCACTTGCATGAAGCCTTTTCAGATTTATTGTTGCGCGAACTGAAAGTGGCCCTAAAATATCATCCATATTTAAAGGTGATTTTATTATCGAACTATAGTCGAAATTACGAATTTCTACAATACTTTGGAGAGGGTGAAGAGATATCCCTTGAAATGAAACCACATGAAATTACCAAAAATGATCTGTTCTATTATGATGATATACGTAAACTATTGCCTGAATCCACAGGGCCATCTTTTATGATACGCAAAGCATTTCAAACTTTGCCGATTTTGTTGCCGCACAATAGGGACTCTATGGAGTTGAATGCCCTGCAATTGGATAAATGTTTGGAAACATATGAACGCTCGGCTCATGATAAATGTTTTGAATTTTTCCTCTACATGGTTCAGGGCGAAAATGCCAATATAAATTATCGTCACAGTGTTACGGGTAGGACGGTTCTAAATATTGCCTCAATGTTGGGTAAAGTAGAACATGTCAAAATTCTTCTGCAATTGGGTGCTGATCCCTTTATTACCGATAAATTGGATGTGGATGCTTTAAAGGTGGCCATCTCCATGAGTAATTTGGAATGTGTTGAACTGCTGAAGGTGGCCTATTTTGACAAGTCACCACAAATCAAGGAAAATTATGTTGATCATTTACTTATATTGGATATAATAAACATGGTGACCACTAAAAATGATATTTGGAGAAGGGGTAGGTGATCATCCTCCCTCTTTTACCATTTAAATATGATAAAAAATAATTTATTTCTCTCTCAGGTAACATCATTGTCATTCTACCCTCCTATCAACATTTAATACAACTGAACTATGCTATATTGAAGGAGAAACTATTGGGTAATCTCCCCCAACAAATTGCCATCTTTATGCTACACAATCACACTGAGAAATCACATTTGGATGCCATGATTACCAGCGATCCGAAAGTTATTAAAATTATCTTAAGTACCGATATTGCTGAAACTCTAATGTGTTTTGATGATCTCTTGTATGTTATTGATGTTGGGCGCCATTATCGCAGGGTATTTGATAGTGAGGCCCAATGTAAGAAACATGTTTATGAATGGTCGGCAAAACAGAATTTAGAAAATCGTCGTTTGTTGTTGTCACAAAATAGTGGTAAGTCAAAACAAGTTTTTTTAATGATCGTTACCATTTTTTCCAATGTCATTGAACAGCTTTTAGACCTTTTGTCAAAAATCCTTGATTAGAAAAACTCCTTGACCTTTACAAAAACTCATTGACCTTTTCTCAGAGATTATTGATCTTTTGAGTAAATGTCATTGATCTTTAGCCTGAAGTCGTTGACCTTTAGTTAAATGTCATTGATCTTTAGCCTGAAGTCGTTGACCTTTAGTTAAATGTCATTGACCTTTAGTCAAAAGTCATTGACCAAAGGCCAAAAGCCATTGACCTCTGAACATTGGTCAAAAGTCATTGACCTTTTGTTAAAAGCCTTTGACCTTTGCTCAAAAGTCATTGACCTTTAGTCAAAAGTCATTTATCATTGGTCAAAAGTCTTTGACATCTGGTCAAATGTCTTTGACATCTGGCCAAATGTCATTGGCCTCTGGTCAAATGTCTTTGAACTCTGGTCAAATGTCATTGGCCTCTGGTTAAATGTCTTTGACCTCTGGTCAAATGTCATTGACTTTTGGCTATAAATCAATGATCTTTGGTCAATGGTCATTGACCTTTGGTCAAAAGTCATTGGCCATAGATCAATAGTCCTTGACCTTTGATCAAAAGTTTTTGACCTTTGGTCAAATGTCATTGACCTTTGGCCAAATGTCATTGGCCTTTGGTTAAAAGTCATTGACCTCTGGTCAAAAGACATTGACCTCTGTTCAAAAGTGAAAGACTTTTGATCAAAAATTATTGACTTTCGCTGAAATCATTGACGCTTTGTTAATGATTTAGCCTTGTGTCAAAAAAACATTTATTTGACCTTGTGTCATTGACAATTTGTCCGAGGTAATTGGTTTTCTATTTTGGGTTTTTTCTTGTTCTTCAAAAATATATTTCTCTTTCAATTACAGGCGGTGTTTGCTTTCGTCTAATACCCATGGAACTGTACGAACAATTACCCGAAGTACAAACCCCCGATTTGTTGACCAAACCTTTGGATCGCGTCTGCTTGGCTGTCAAACTACTTTCCCAGCACACCATGGTATCGGAATATTTACAAGAGACCATAGTGAAGCCACCTTTTATAAAAGTCTATCAGGCTGTAGAACATTTGAAAAAAATCAGTGTTTTTACCGAACTCGAAGATATAACCTGGCTTGGTTGTCGTCTTATTGATGTGCCGGTTGAATGTCATTTGGGTAAATTATTGGTATTCGCAATACTACTCCAATGTTTGGACCCCATTCTAACAATAGTCAGTTTTATGACAACTCTCGACCCCTTTGAACTCTCCCATTTTATTGATGACGAACAGCTTGAACCATATCGTGATGTTATAAGGCAAAAAATTAAAGATCAACGAAAACATTTTGCCGAAGGCCATTGCTCAGATCATTTAATGTTTTTGCGTTTATATCAAGAATGGCAAAATGATTTGCGGGATGATAGTATGGACAGCATACCGAGTAAATATAATTTCACTTTGAATGGTCTGCTGGAATATGTGTGTAATGTCAGGACACAACTTGTGGGTGCTCTACGATCATCACAATTAATCCATAACAAAGGCAATTTGAGTATGCACTATATTAATTTGAAATCAAATTGTTGGCCCATTATTAAGGCAGCCTTGGTTGGTGGCCTTTACCCCAGTCTGTGTGTTGTGGATACCCATTGCAATCGTTTGAAATCACCAAATAAAAATGAATTGGTTGTGCATCCAGATTCAGTATTGCGTGATTTAAATTTGGATTCTATGCGAGATATGAAATATAAATCACCATGGATTATCTATGGGCAAGCCAGCAAATCTTGGAATTGTAATAGTATTCGGTGTAATACAATTATAGCTGGTATAAGTGTGGCTTTGTTTGCAGGTAATTTCATTTAAAATAGAGATTTTTTATTCGACATAATTTTTAAATAAATATTATGCTATCTGTTGCAGGTCCCACAAAATTATCATCTTCCAGTACAAAAATAACCACACCCACAAATGCCACAGAAAATTCGGAGTGTTTGCTACACATTGATGATTGGATTTCGTTTAAATTGAACTACAAGGAAGCCTGCCTGTTGCTGAAAACCCGACAACATTTCTACAACATATATGTCAATTATTTACAACGTTGTGGTCTATTGGAAAAATTCAAACGACAAAATGTATCCTCATCATCGGGTGCGGGACAAAATTCTATGCTCTTTGATTGTATTGAAAAAATCTTGGTGCAGGAAGATTTGGCCAATGGTTTTAAACAACCTGAAAGAATTGGTCTCCGTCCGAAAGCAGTACCGAATAAATTAATGATGACTTTGAATGGTGGCATGTTAATGTCATCATGCCTATACAGATCACAATATCACCACCAGTCAAATATGTCAACGGCTAATATCAATTTTCATTTGCGTAATAAACAATATATTATGGTGTATCGGAAAGATTTGAATGATATGGCGGCTGGTGGTGGTGATTGTATGATGAATACCGCCGCTTTACGCCACTCGGAATGGTTTCATACGTTGAGCACACTGTTGGATGTTAAAACCGATTCAAATAAGCTTACGTTTGTAGTATTCTATACAAGACATCCGGATCTGTTGCGTAGTGTTTATATGGTCGAATGGAATAATGGCCATTTGGAATTATATCCTTGCTTTAAATTCAATATAAATCTTCATTGTGTTTTGTAAGTATAATTTTGATTTTTTTTTTATATTTTTTTTATACATATATACTTTTTTCTGATTAAAAAGTAATAATTTTTTTGAGGTTATGTTGAAGAAAAAAATTAAATTTTTCCACATTTTAATGCCGGCTCTTTAATTGAAAAACGTTTAGAAACGTTGAAACCTCACATTTCTGGAAAGTCTTGGAATTTTTAATTTTGAGGTTATATGTTAAAAAAGTGCAATCTAAAATGTATATAATTTGTAGTGGGAAATTAAAAAAAGAAAAAACATCGTTTTGCTCCTGCTTATTTATCTAATTGAAAACCATAAAATTTTTAATAATTTGTAATTTTCAATTTTGAGGTTATGTTGAAAAAAAGAAAAGTTTCGATTCTCAAAAAAAAAAAAATATATATATATAAAAGTTGTTGCAAAATTAAATTATTTTTAAAATTTGGGGTTTTTGATTGAAAATTTTACGTTTTTTTTATATATAGCATTTTTTTTTGATTTTTAGCATTTATTTAATTTCCAAATCATTCCAATGAAAAAGAGTTGAAAAATATTGGTTTGAAATAATACCCACCCTGCAATAACCACCAGCAACATTTTGTTCCTGGAACATATTGGGATTTTTAATATTTGAGGTTATGATGTTTTGAGGTTATATGTTAAAAAAAAGTGCAATATAAAATTTATTTAATTTTGAATGCGGAAATAAAACAAAAAAATCAATATGGTTTGCTTCTGCTTATTTATCTTATTGAAAACCAAAAAAAATTTCAATTTTGAGGTTATGTTGAAAAAAAATGAAAAGTCTCGATTTTCCAAAAAGAAAAATGAAGGAAGTTGTTGCTGCTAAATTAAATTATTTTTAAAATTTGTGTTTTTTTATTAAAATTTTACGTTTTTTAATATATAGCATTTTTTATTTTTGAGGTTATATTGAAGAAAAATTTAAATGTATCTAATTTCCAAATCATTTTAATGAAAAAGAGTTGAAAAATATAGTGTTGAAATAATACCCAACCAGTATTACCCACCATTCAATGTTCCTATTTTTTGATTTAGCTCCTATATATATTTTCGTCCGATTTGCACGAAATTTGGCACAGTGTAATGTGTGTTAAGTTTCCTGAAAATCGATTCAGATTTAGATATAGCTCGCATATATATTTTGATCCGATTAAAGGTAAATGATGTACCAAAGTCCCTATATATCTATCGATTTGCACGAAATTTGGCATACCGTAATGAATTAGGTCTAGAATGATGTGTGTTAAGTTTCCTGAAAATCGGTCCAGATTTAGATATAGCTCCCATATATATTTTGGTCCGATTTAAGGTAAACTGTTTACCAAAGTCCCTATATAGCTTTCGATTTGGACGAAATTTTGCACAACATAATGAATTAGGTGTAGAATGATGTGTGTTAAGTTTCATAGAAATCAGTTCAGATTTAGATATAGCTCCCATATATATTTTTGTCGATTGACACAAAATGGATTATGACTTCTAAACTGAAAATATTCTACCCTATGAGCCAACGAACATACTGAACCCCCGCGTATATTTAAATAATAATAAGTATAAGTCATTTGTTAAAAAAAAAATTAGAACATTTCAAATTCTAAATATTTTATATTATTTTTTATTAATTTATTATTTCATTCTATTTTTTTCCTTTTCTTTTAGAAACAATGCCAACAATGCCGCCCTCTCCATGGCAATTGGCCAAAGAAGAAACGTCTTTGCCTTGGATCAAAATACTGGTTTATTTATATTGAATATGTTTGCTTATCGTAACAATTGGCTACACAGCAGCAACAATTGAGGTAATATCATATTAAATAATGAATTTAGCATTTTATTTTTAGGTATTATTAATATTTTTAATTTATTTTATTATTTCTGATTAATAATGTGCCTGGAAGAAAGAGTATTATTATTTTGGTAATTTTTTTTATTTAGTTTGTTTAAGCATAAAAAAGAAACGCATTTTGATATTGAATTTTTCCATTAGTTTTTTTGTTTAATGTATTTTTGTATTTTTGTTTATGTTGTTTTTTATTTTTTTGGGCCATTAGTGCATACTTCAATAAATATGTTAAAAAAATTCTATTCATTATTTTTATATATGAGAAAAGGTTTTCGATAGACATAGAAACGAGGGAAAGAGTTATCATTGTTATTTGTGTGTGTGTGTGTTTTTATTGCTGCCCTATATATAATTAGTGGCAGCGCTAATATTTGTTAAATGTGTGTGTGTTTCGAAAGGAAAAGGATAGGCAGTAGGGAAGAAGAATCTAGGGAAAATGTGTTATAGAAATTGCTTGGCTACTACACACGCATATACCACCACACAATATCTATGATTAGAAGAGAAATCTTACAACTAATATTTGTTTTGTTGTTGTTATTATTATTTCATTTTAGTGAGTGTTAGTATCTTCAATAATTTTTAAAGGATTTTGTTGATGTTGTTGTTGTAGTTGGTGTTGTTGCTGTTCATTTAGATAATTTGATGATGACGATGTCATACCACCAAGGTCGATATTAAATGTGGAGTTTCTCCTTGCTATATGAATATCATCAGCATTATGGACTAGATTTTGATTAACTACAATATTGTGAGCATCCTAGAAAGAAAGAAAAAGAAAGGGGAAAATTAAAAAATATTTAGAAAAAAAATATATATATTAGCAATATTAATATTGTGCGAGTTATGTTGAAAAAAAAAACGGAATTTTCAAATATTTTTAATGGCAATTTCCTTCTAAATATTAAATTTTAAAATTGCATTGTATTACATGTTGATTATTCTAATTAAAATAAGAAGTAAAATAAAAATAAATATTTCGGTTGAATTGCAATTTTCAATTTCGGGGTTATGTTTAAAAAAAAATGAAAAATTCAAAATTTCAAATATTTGTTAAAGATAATTTCCAGCTAAATAAATGCATTTTTAATACATGCTCATTATTATAATTAAATTTTCTTCATTTATGGAATATTTGAAAATTTTCATTTTTGAGGTTATGTTGAGGAAAAAGTTAAATTGATCTACTTCGTAAATTATTTTAAAGAATATAGATGTTAATTTATTGTAAATATAACATTTTTGTATTAAATATCATATTTATGTAGAGAAATATGTTTTTAACTTTTGAGGTTAAGCTAAAAAAAAATTGAATGTTAAAAATTTGCAATTGATTTTATTGAAAATTACTTCTAAATTATCTATTTTTTAAAATCTTGATATTTCCATTTAAAATTTTTAAATTTATGGAATTTAGATTTTTTTTATTTTTGAGGTTATGTTAAAGAAATTAAAATGATTTAATTCGTTACTAATTTAAAAGCAATATAACTTTTAACGTATTTTTTCTTATCAAATTATTGAATTTTTTGGGTTTTATTATTTAAAGTTAAAAATTTTAAGGAAAAAACAATTTAAAATTTGTTGAGGTTATGTTGAAGACAAGTGCAAATGTTAAAAAATTTGAAACCATTTTTATGAAACTTGATGGGAATATATTATATTTATGAATATTTATTGGATCTACTGATTAAAAATTTTTCATTTATGGGAAAAAGTAATTTTTATTTTTGAGGTTATGTTAAAGAAAATAGTCAAATAACATTTTTTGAGGTTATGTGGGAAACCATTTTTTGTATTTTTTTTTTTTTTGGAATATTTGTATTTTTTCTTATCAAAAATTATTGCCTTATTTCAAGTTAGAAATTTCAAAGAAAAAAGAGAACAATTTAATTTGTTTGAGTTTATGTTGAAAAAAAATTAAATACATTGAAATATTACAAATTTGAAAACAATTTTGATGAAATTTAATTGGAAAATATTGAATTAATGAAGAATACATTTTGCATCTGATGATTAAAAATTATTAATTTATGGAAAAAAGTAATTTTAATTTTTGAGGTTATGTTGAACAAAAAAATAATTTTTTTTGAGGTTATGTGGAAAAAATTCTATTTTTTTACATTTAAAATAAAAACGCTTGATATACACTTGTTCTCCGTTTATCTCATTAAAAATAATTCAATTGGAAAATTGTACCCTAAGAAATTGTAATTCTTTTTCTAATATTTGGGGTTATGTTGAGGTTTTTAGATTTTTTTTATATATATACTACTTACAGTACTATTTGAGTAAAATGGTTCCATTGTATGATTTTGCATTATTTGATAACCATCTTCATTTAATATTTCTCCACCGCCACCCAATGACGATGAGTTGGTGTTGTTAATATTGCCGCTTGCCGTTGTTGTCATTTTATTAATGCTACTACTACTACTGCTGCTGCACGCTGCAGATGAAGGTTCCTAAAATTTAAATGAATGAAAAATTTAAATGAAAATCAATAAAAATTAGATATTAACTTACATTTTGTTCGAAATATTCAAGAAACAGCGTTTCATAACGCTGTCGTATATTATCTACAACATCCAATAGATTTTTAGCATCCATAGCTAAAACATGAGCAGCCGATAACATGCCTCTGTGTTAGATGAATTATATAAAAGAAATTAATTAATTTTTATTAAGTAATATAAATAGATCTGGACTTACTTTTTATATTCTACATCTAATGTAGTATCACTGTATTGTTGAGCCAATTTCATGGCTGCCACCAGTTCATGCATATCCTTGGGCAATACTTTGTGGGCCATTTCCACTTCTCTGTTGAAGAAAAACAAAAGAAGGATAAAGATTAATATAGGAAATACATTAAAAAACTATTTTATTGAGAACATCTTTTTTATAGAGACCCATTATTAAAATAATTTTTTTAAGGAGATCCATTGTGCCTAGATTATTAAAATAATTTTTTAAGGAGACCCATTGTGCCCAGATTATTAAAATAATTTTTTTAAGGAGACCCATTGTGCGTAGATTATTAAAATATTTTTTTAAGGAGACCCATTGTGCGTAGATTATTAAAATAATTTTTTTAAGGAGACCCATTGTGCGTAGATTATTAAAATAATTTTTTTAAGGAGACCCATTGTGCGTAGATTATTAAAATAATTTTTTTAAGGAGACCCATTGTGTAGATTATTAAAATATTTTTTTAAGGAGACCCATTGTGCGTAGATTATTAAAATAATTTTTTTAAGGAGACCCATTGTGCGTAGATTATTAAAATAATTTTTTTAAGGAGACCCATTTGGCGTAGATTATTAAAATAATTTTTTCAAGGAGACCCATTGTGCATAGATTATTAAAATAATTTTTTTAAGGAGACCCATTTTGCGTAGATTATTAAAATATTTTTTTTCAAGAGACCCATTTTGCGTAGATTTTTAAAATAATTTTTTTCAGGAGACCCATTGTGCGTAGATTATTAAAATAATTTTTTTCAAGAGACCCATTTTGCGTAGATTATTAAAATAATTTTTTTAAGGAGACCCATTGTGCGTATATTATTAAAATATTTTTTTTTTTCAAGAGACCCATTTTGCGTAGATTATTAAAATAATTTTTTTCAAGAGACCCATTGTGCGTAGATTATTAAAATAATTTTTTTAAGGAGACCCATTGTGCGTAGATTATTAAAATAATTTTTTAAGGAGACCCATTGTGCGTAGATTATTAAAATAATTTTTTTAAGGAGACCCATTGTGCGTAGATTATTAAAATAATTTTTTTAAGGAGACCCATTGTGCGTAGATTATTAAAATAATTTTTTTAAGGAGACCCATTGTGCGTAGATTATTAAAATAATTTTTTAAGGAGACCCATTGTGCGTAGATTATTAAAATAATTTTTTTAAGGAGACCCATTGTGCGTAGATTATTAAAATAATTTTTTTAAGGAGACCCATTGTGCGTAGATTATTAAAATAATTTTTTTAAGGAGACCCATTGTGCGTAGATTATTAAAATATTTTTTTAAGGAGACCCATTGTACGTAGATTATTAAAATAATTTTTTTAAGGAGACCCATTGTGCGTAGATTATTAAAATAATTTTTTTAAGGAGACCCACTGTGCGTAGATTATTAAAATAATTTTTTTAAGGAGACCCATTGTGCGTAGATTATTAAAAAAAATTTTTAAGGAGACCCATTGTGCGTAGATTATTAAAATAATTTTTTTAAGGAGACCCATTGTGCGTAGATTATTAAAATAATTTTTTTAAGGAGACCCATTGTGCGTAGATTATTAAAAAAAAATTTTAAGGAGACCCATTGTGCGTAGATTATTAAATTAATTTTTTTAAGGATTGGGTTTCTTTACAGTATTTTTTTTACTTACTTATAGGCTTCGCCTGGTATAATGGGTGACAAATGATCCACCGATTGCAAAAGTTTACGCAATTCAAATCCAATATTCTTAACCAATTCCAAAAAATTGTTACTCTTGTGTTCGCCCACCTCTTGCGACAGCGTAATAATGGCCTTCACCACATTTGTTGTGGCTATGTAGACGGCATCTTTATTACGATTTAGGCTTGGCCTACCACCCATATTATTCTTCTGTTGCTGCTGTTGATGTTGTTGTTCGGTGGCGGATAACAATTGCCGATCTTTCATTGCCATTGTACTTAGACGATGTGCTAAGTTATTAGTTTTTATTTGGGTATTCGATTGCGAAGGAGGAGCAGGAGGATAACAATTGTTGTCACTTAAACTGGAAGAACTATTGTTGATGTTGTTGTCCGTCAACGATGATGATGAACACAATGACGAGGAGGTGGGTGGTTGGGCTGGATGTTGTTGTTGCAGATGAGGATGATGTTGATTTGGTGTATCCACATCACGGCTAAGGGAAGTCTTGCGGGGTTTCTGAAGGGGGAAAACAAAATTAAAATATTAGTTGACAATTTTATGGGGCCCTTTCAAAAATTTCCCCTTTTTAAGGGAATTTTGTCTCAGAGGAATGTTATGTAAAATATAATCTCTGGGTCTACATAAAAAACAAAAACAGTTTGAGTCTCAGGGTAAATATGTAAAAAATGTATCTGGGTCTACATAAAAAAACACAAAAAAATAATCACTAAATAAATTTAAAACACAATTCTTAAAAAAATGTAAAAAAGAAAACAACAACAACTCAAGCATCAACAAAACTCAATTTAAAAAAATCCATCTACAAATTTCGTTAAAGAATCGTTTTCAAACCTCCACCAAATGTAACATTGAATTGCTGTTTTTAATTTCTGATTCCATCGATGAAGAAGACGAAGAAGCGGTTGGAGGAGGCATCATTTCCATACTCAATGGAGCCTGTTGATGACCAGACATCATGGTATTGCCTGGTATTTGTTGTTGTTGTGTTAGGCCGGTGGCACTCATACTTTGGGCCATGTGTTGTTGCTGGAGCTGCTGCTGTTGATTTATTCTCTGTGGATCATAGCCATAAATAAAACCATTTCCCGGTGCCATGGGAGTATACAATTGTCCCGGCATACCTGACGTTGCCACCGCCGCTGCTGCCATTTGAGGTCTACTTGCTGGACACACATCATAAATCTCTTCCTCAAATGCCTTATATTCGGGCGAGTTTTTCATGTGATTCTTAAAGGCCAAAAAGGACGAATAAGCCTCTAAACTACCTGATCGCGAATATGATTTGGGAAAATCACGACTATTGTGAGCAGAACGCTCTAAACTAGCACTGCGTGGTACACACTTGCGTGGACCAGCATTTAAGGGATTTATCAGAGATTTATTACGTTCCAATGAGCCACCAATGGACCGAGTACAGTTATTATTTTGAAAATGTGGTGGCATAATATTCCGTTCCAAACTGCCACAATGGGTGGCCTGGGGAATGTGCCGATTAATGGGTGGATTGCGGCCAAAATCATATATCATTTGGCTACGTTCTTCCTGGCCCAAAGAGGCTGATTTGCCAGCCGTAAGACTGGAATGGGGCATATGGATCATACTTTCGGGAACCATAACAAATTGTGGCATCATAGTGGTGGTAAAACCCGGAGGCATGTGTCCTCCTCCGCCGTCGTGGATGTGGGGTATAAATTGTGGCCTTACCACACCAACACCACCACCTCCACCACAATGGGCATGAGGATAGACCATTTTCTGTTGCTGTTGTTGATGGCAATCGGCAGCAACCATTTTATTTTGCATTTGTTGGTGCTGCTGTAGTTGTTGTTGTTGCTGTATCATTTGATTAGTCTTATTTGTTTGTTGTTGTTGTGTCGTTTGAGCTTGAATTGTTGCCGCCTCCGTCGCTGTACTATTTGTCTTTTGCATCATCTGTTGTTTGTCCTGTTGTAGCCTATGCAAGGCCACAGCCTTCTCTTCGCGCGTTATTGTATTGTCTAACTTGAGAAATTCCGAAACGGGAAGTTTACTTGTCTTTAAAGCTATATCATTATTGGTGGTCTTGGTTGTATCTACGTCTACAGCTAATGTATTAAATACCGAGGCAGGTGTTGTATAGGCTGCTGGATTAATGCCACGATTTTCATTTTCCTTCATGAGTCGGGCCAATATTTCGGGATTTTGTGCTATAATATAGGTTTGGGGACTGAGGGCACTGGAATTTTTATCCGCAGCATTGGAGGAGAATTTGGAGTTGTCTGGAAAAAAACAACAAAAAAATTATGTTTTTTTTTTCTTAAAAAAGAAAATCCAAAACTAAAAACTTACCACCCACCAATTGTGGTGTCTTGGATGGTTTTGACGGTGGCATATCCAAATCACTGTTACTATTGTGCATGGAAAAGAATCCAGAATTCTCCTTGTTCATGGTATCAAAACCGGCAGCCCGTTCCTCTATGAGAATTTCACTAAAAGTAAAAACATAAAAAAAAATTATTTCTGTACTTCTTTAAAATCAATTTTTCAAACTCACTATAGTGTCTCCTTAATCCTCTTAAAATTGGGCCTTTTCGATGGCTCATAGGTCCAACATTGTGACAGCAACGAATACAATCGCGGTGGACAATTGTTGGGAAACGGCAAACGTTCACCATTTTCTAATTTGGCAATAATGTCACTATTTTTAATACCCTGGAATGGTTTAACGCCCAACATCAATATCTCCCAGGCACAGACACCTAAAAAACAACAATAAACAAATAATTAGAAAAGGGTGTAACTTTGCAGAATTTTTCTTTTTTTATTTACCAAACATCCACACATCGCTGGCAATGGTGAATCGACGAAAATTAATTGATTCGGGTGCCATCCATTTAATTGGCAGCATACATGTACTGGAATGATAATACGATTGTTCTGATACCCAGCGGGATAAACCGAAATCAGCCAACTGAAAGAAAAAGAAGAAGGAAAATTAAAATTTGAAGCAATTCGTTGAATGATGGCAGGAAAAAAGTAGAGAGAAAAGGGAAAACAATTCGTAAGGATATGCTGTCATCAATATTTTGAAAAAAAATCTCTTGAAGCTTTTATGATACTCTAGGCAGAATTCTGGAGTATCTCTAGGAAGACTTTTCTATGAAATAAAATTTTACAGATTCTCCACGTCTTAGGCTGTGCTAGTCCTTGAAAGCTATTCTTTAAAAAATCCACGCCATTTGCGGAGATAGTTCTTGAAAAATATTCTTTAAAAATCCACGCCTTTTGCTCTGACAGTCCTTGAAAAATATTATTTAAAAAATCCACGCCTTTTGCTCTGACAGTCCTTGAAAAATATTATTTAAAAAATCCACGCCTTTTGCTCTGACAGTCCTTGAAAAATATTATTTAAAAAATCCACGCCTTTGGCTGCGATAGGACTTTGAAAATATTCTTTTAGAAAATCCACGCCTTTTGCTGTTATAGTCCTTGCAAAAATATTCTTTTAGAAAATCCACGCCTTTTGCTGTTATAGTCCTTGCAAAAATATTCTTTTAGAAAATCCACGCCTTTTGCTGTGATAGTCCTTGCAAAAATATTCTTTAAAAAATCCACGCTCTTTGCTGTGATAGTCCTTGAAAAATATTCATTGGAAAAATCCACGTCTTTAGCTGTGATAGTCCTGGAAAAATATTCTTTAAGAAATCCACGCCATGTGCTGTGATAGTCCTTCAAAAAATATTCTTTAAAAAATCCACGCCATTTGCTGTGATAGTCTTTGAAAAATATTATTTAAAAAATCCACGATAGTCCCTGAAAAATATTCTTTGAAAAATCCCCGTCTTTTACTGTGATAGTCCTTGGAAAAATATTCTTTAAAAAATCCACGCCTTTTGCTGTGATAGTCCTTGAAAAATATTTATCACTAAAATCCAAGCCTTTTGCTGTGATAGTCCTTGAAAAATAGTCCTCAGATAAATCCACGCCTTTTACTGTTGTAGTCCTTGAGAAGTAGTAGTGATAGTCCTTGAAAAATATTCATTGGAAAAACCCACGCCTCCTGCTGTGACAGTCCTTGAAAAATCCCCGCCTTTTGCTGTGATAGTCCTTGAAAAGTAAACTTTAAAAAATCCCCGCTGTGATAGTCCTTGAAAAATATTCTTTAAAAAATCCATGACTTTTGCTGTGATAGTCCTTGAAAAGTAATCTTCCAAAAAATCCACAACTTTTGCTGTGATAGTCCTTGAAAAATATTCTATAAAAAATCCACGCCTTTTGCTGTGATAGTCCTTCAAAAAATATTCTTTAAAAAATCTACGATAGTCCTTGAAAAATCCCCGTCTTTTGCTGTGATAGTCCTTGCAAAGTAATCTTTAAAAAATCCCCCGCATTTTGCAGTGATAGTCCTTGAAAATGAGCCTTTAAAAAATTCACGCCTTTGCTGTGATAGTCCTTGAAAAATATTCTTTAAAAAAATCCACGCCTTTTGCTGTGATGGTCCTTGAAAAACATCCTTCAGTTCTTTTGTAGATAGAATTTCTTCAGAAGTTTTTCTTTTTATTTTATCTTTCGAAGATACTGAAACAGCCACCGCCCTCCCCTCTCCCCACTCAACGATTTAAATGTTGCAATCTCGTTTTTTTGTTTACTATGGTCCATGTGATAACAAGTAAAACATACAGTTATCAAATCAAATATTAGAATAAGATAATAAATAGTGGACAAAGAAGAAGAATGAATATACAAACCTTTATGCATGTCGGTGAGCTAACTAAAACATTGCGTGCGGCTATATCACGATGCACAAATTTCTTCGATTCCAAATAGCTAAGGGCCGTTGATAGCTGATAACAATACAGCAGCAATGTTTCCCGCCTTAATCTAAAATAAACAAAAACAAAAGAAGCGGAACAAGCAAACAAGTTAGGAAATAGAATTTAAACAAATATTATTACTGAGGGGTTCATCTTACTTTTCGGCATTTGATTTAAGATAGGCACGCAATTCACCATATTCAGCCAATTCCATGACAATCCATACGGGTGATTCACTACAGATGCCAATTAAACGTATAATATGGGGATGATCGAATTTTTGCATGACATCTGCGAAACAAAGAAGAAACAATTCAGTACATTATGAGGTAATCGGTGGGTGAATGTTTTGTTTCTATTTCACTTACATGCCTCCTCCAAAAATCGTTCCATTTTTTCGGGATCATCATTTGTTTTACAGGTCTTTACGGCCACCTGTATAACAGCAGAATTGCCATCATTTTTATCACCCTTGCCACATTTAACTTTGGTGTGATAAGTGCCAATGTAAACATCACCAAATTGGCCCACACCAATTGTATTATTTAGGGTTATTTCCGAACGATCCAACTCATAATTTCTAACTGTAAAAAAATACAAAATAAAAAATTATTGTTTAAAAAATATTTTACATATTTTATTTTCAAAATATACCAGCTGGTGTTGAATAATCTCCTTCCTCATCGGCTAAACCCAGTTCAGCATAATCTTCACTTAATTTTGGTTTAGAATTTTCGCTAGAATTCGTTTCATTTGCATGATCACCACCATTATTAAGGGTTGTATCGTTACGTCCATTACCACCAATGGGATTCCATAGAGTACACACTTGATTATTGCTAATCAAAAGGCAATAACCCTCAATTAAGTCGGCAATACTTGTGGCAGTCTAAAAATAAACCAAAAACAAACATGATTTTCTTATGTGTTTGTTTGTTATTATTTTCAATACTTACATTATAACCATTACATGTTATCACCAGATCTTCATCATTACTCGTGGTGGTTATCTTAACTTGTGTTTTCATTTCACGACATCGACAGGATTTACCCTGACCCAAATGATCATCAATACTGGGTGTCAATGATTTCAATAGACTTTTCTCATTATTGGAATGTGCATCGTCTTTGGGTAGAAATAATGTGGTAATACGATTTATATCCTTAAATGTTGCCACTTGTGTCATATTTGCCTGGGGATGGGTTTGATATGAAATGCCTGGGGGTAAAAATAAAAGAATAAAAATTAATAAAATAAAAAATACATTTTTGAAGAGTAGGGATGTAAAAAAAGTCCTGTAAACGAGGATATTTTCAAGGACTACCATAGTAATAAGTCTGGATTTTAAAAGTAATTTTTTCAAGGACTATTACAGCAATAAATCTGGATTTTTTAAAGAATATTTTCGAAGGGCTATTACAGCTATAAGGGTGGATTTTTAACGAATATATTTTCAAGGACTATCACAGCAAGAGTCGTGGATTTTTTTAAAGAATATTTTTCAAGGACTATCGCAGCAAAAGGCGGGAATTTTTTAAAGAATATTTTTCAAGGACTATTACGGCAAAAGGCGTGAATTTTTCAAAGACAAATTTTCAAGGAGTATCACAGCAAAATGTGTGGATTTTTTAAAAGAATATTTTTAAAGGATTATCACAGCAAAAGGCGTGGATTTGTTAAAGAAAATTTTACAACGACTATCACATCAAGTGGCGTGCCATTTTTAAAGAATATTTTACAACGACTATCACATCAAGGGGCGTGCCCTTTTTAAAGAATATTTTCGAAAGACTATCACAGCACGTATTGTGGATTTTTTAAAGAATATTTTTCAAGCTCTTTAAAGGCTCCAAGCCTGGATTTTTCAAAGAATATTTTTCAAGGACTATCACTGCAAAATGTGTGGATTTTTTTAAGAATTTTTTCAAGGACTATCACAGCAAAATGTGTGGATTTTTGTTAAGAATTTTTTCAAGGACTATCACAGCATGATGTGTGGATTTTTTAAAGAATATTTTTCAAGGACTATCACAGCAAAAGGCGTGGATTTTTTAAAGAATATTTTTCAAGGAATATCACAGCAAAAGACGTGGATTTTTTAAAGAATATTTTTCAAGGACTATCACCGCAAAAGGCGTGAATTTTTTTAAGAATATTTTTCAAGGACTATCGCAACAAAATGTGTGGATTTCTAAAGAAATATATTTCAAGTACTAGTCAACTAAAGGCGTGAATTTTTTAAAGAATTTTTTTTCAAGGAGTATCACAGCTAGAAGCGTGGATTTTTTAAAGAATATTTTTCAAGGACTATCACCGCAAAAGGTGTGGATTTTTTTTAAAGAATATTTTTCAAGGACCATCACAGCAAAATGTGTGGATTTTTTAAAGAATTTATTTCAAGGACTATTCCAGCAAAGGGCGTGGATTTTTTTCAAGAATATGTTTCAAGGGCTATGGGTGGATTTTTTAACGTTTTCCCAATTTAGTTGATTTTTTCTTATTTACCTATTTTCGGTCCAACATATAAATATCCCGATATGTTCCATGATGAGCTCAGCGTTACGGAAAACTTTTCATATTCGGTTTCGTAGAAATTCTTCAAAATATCAAAATACCTGAAAATACACAAATTTAATTTAATTAATTTTTTTAATTCCAAAATCCATAAAATTACTTCCCATTACACTTACTTGGTAATGTATTCGATATCGGTTAAATTGTATAATTTTTTATATGTTGCGAGTATCACTTTTTTCAGATTCTTTGGCTTTGTTGAAGATATCACAGTTTTTGGTAGAAATTGATTAAATCCCACTTCTTTGTCTATGTGCTCTACATGTTGCGTTTTTTTATCCGGTATTGTTGTTGTCGCTGTTAAATTGCGAAAATAATGCAACATACTGAGGCAACATAATTGTATGGCATTATCAAAGTCGATACTCGTCGAATTCGATTGTATAAAATCTTGTTTAACCTGGAAAAGAAAATGAAAAAAATGAAGAAAAAAATACAGAAAAAATTAGTTTCAAAGGAATTTTGAGGCTTCTTTTAAAGACATGAGACGCTTTTATAGTTCTTAAGAAGTCGTTGTTCTTAAAGGGCCTCGAAAAGGGGACTTCTATAAATAGGGACACTAATTTTAGGCTGTCTATATGTAGCTATAAATCTTCTATATCTAGAAAACCTCATTAAGGAGATCGACAGCTATAAATCTGGATTTTTTAAAGGATATTTTTCAAGGAATACCACAGCTGTAAGTGTAGGGGGTTTAATGAATATTTTCGAAGGACTATCACAGCTATAAAAGTGGATTTTTTAAAGAATATTTTGCAAGGACTACCACAATTATGAGTGTGGATTTTTTATAGAATTTTTAGCAAGCAAACTAATGGGGATAAAATTGGATATTTAAGGAATATTTTGCAAGGACTACTACAGCTATACAAGTAGATTTTTAAAGGAATATTTTCAAGGACGATCACAGCAGAAGTCGTGGATTTTTTAAAGAATATTTTTCAAGGACTATCACAGCAAAAGGCTTGGACTTTTTAAAGAAAATTTTTCAAGGACTATGTCACAGCAGAAGTCTTGGATTTTTTAAAAAATATATTTCAAGGACTATGTCAACTAAAGGATTGGACTTTTTAAAGAATATCACTATCACAGCTAAAGTCTGGGAGTTTTTAAAGAATATTTTCCAAGGACTATAACAGCAAGGGGCGTGGCTTTTTTAAAGATAGCTGTCTTTTGTGTGGATGGATGACCCTGGACAATTCTATAAAGATAGAACAAATTGAGTACTTCTATTAATAGAAGAACTAGAGGTCTTCCATACACTAGAAGACCTAGAGTTCTTCTATATAGACATGGAAATACAGGTATTTTATAGATACAAGATTGATGTAATGCCTTCTCTTCCTCATGTAAAAACATTATCAGACATTCTTCAAAAACTTCAAGTTTTCTAAATAAAATAGTTCCTTAAGAGATAACAGATACAGTAGAAGACCTTAAGGTTTTTCATACATTAGAAGACCTTGAGCTCTTCTATACATACATGGAATTACAGGTATTTAATACATAGAATATTGATATAATGCCTTCTCTTTCTTCATATAGAATAATTTATCAGACCTTTTTCAAGTCTTCTAAATGAAATAGCTCCTTTTACAGATGGAAGATGTACTTCATTTCTCCTAAAAATATAGCAGTTATCCTCCTTATCTTCCTACGTACATAGAAGACCTTCAGGATTTCAAGATATCCTCTTTGGATCTTTTATAGATATGATAGTTATACACATACCTGATCAAAATAGAAATAACATGTGATTTTATCTTCATTGAATAGTTCCCGTAGGCTGTGCGGTAAATAACGTATACGCAACTCCGGCCTCCAAACGCTAAACTTATCATTGACATTGACCGTTGGCGGTATATGTTGCGACTTTTGTTGTGGACATTCGGTATTCGGGCATGTTGAATTCCAGATGTGTTCCAATAGCTTTTGGATTTTCGTTGTTTTATTCATCCATAGGGTTTCTTTGGTGACCATATTCTGTAGACGTAAGGCGTAATAACGGGGATTCGGTTTACGGGCATATGGTACCATGGCCACGGTTTTCTCAATAATATCCTGGACAGTGTCCTTTTGTTCATCGACACTGACGGCATGATGTTGATTATTTGGCCAATAGACATTCAAATTGAATATATTCAGGGACGATGTTAGGTTGCCTGCAAAAAAAGAGAGAAATTATTATGAATTTTTTTTAAGGGGATGTGAGATTGTGCCACTTACTTTGGTTAGAATTTTGAGACATATTTTTGTTTGCTACTCTATTCCCAGAGTCGGGTCGTCTCCCAGGTTCAATGTCTTCTCAAAAAGAATGCTGGAACGATTTTTGTTCGGGGGGTTTTGTTTTCAGGGATCGTAGCATGAATACATTTGTGTGCTGCTGATTATAAATCTCCTGGTTTTTCTAGTTTTATTTTTTTTGAATTATAACCACAGATGCTGGAATGAAATAAAGAAAACAATAACAATTTGAATATTGAATTTTTTGTGTATGTTGTGTTTTTTTGGGGAAGTTCAATAATTGCGTGAGCCAATTATTTAAACAAAAACAAAACATGTGAAAAATCTATTTACGAATATGCATGCATATGTGTGGACATATGTGATGTGTTTTGATATGTTTTATTTCATATCTATAAAAATTTGAAACCACACGTTTCATAATGACGGACGACCTCTCTGCATCATCAACAACATTGGTAACATCATCTCTAATCAGAATCCGAACGAACGGCAAACCAACCGACCGATCTACCGCCAGACAGACAGCGGTAAAGTTTTGTATCTCATTCAAGTGTATATCAACACACCACAGAAGATGATGATGGCATGGATGGTGATGATGTTCATTCATGCACATATAGTATCAATATGTAAACAAAAAAAGCCCATATTATTTATTTATATATATTTAGCCAACAATGTGGCTGTTTTGTAATTAAATGCAATAAACACAAAACTATATATAATAAATAAAAACTAATAATGATGGCAAAAAAATCCGACAAGACACCACACACTATTTTCATTTTTCTCTCTGCTGTTGTTGTTTGCCATCAAAGAAAAAGTTGCGTTGGCCGCATTCAATACCATAAAGGCGAAAAAAATGGGCTCGACAGCAGTTGTTTTTTTTTATTAAAAAAAGGGAGAGACTTTCAGACAGGCCAGGCCAGGCCTGGCGGACGGACAGACGAGCGGGCGGGCGGTCGTTCGTTCGCTCCAACAGATACACTGTCATTTTAGCTCTGGGTGTTATCATTCATACCTCAATCAATAACCAATATCCTTGCAGCATATCCACCAGCAGCAGCTTATCTGGCCAGACAGTCGGTCAGTCAGTGGTTTCTTTTTCTATTTTCCACACTTCAATGTCGGCTATTTCACAAAATAAAATACAATATTTTCTATCTATTGCAGCAGTAGCCGTAGCAGCAGCAGTCGTAGTGAGAGAGAGTTTAAAAGACAGAAGAAAAACATTAAAATTTTTGCTTGTAGAAAAGTTTTCATTTAAATTGCACTTTTTCTATTTCATTTAATTCTTTTGACAATTTGCCTCTACACTTGGCCTTTAGTTTTTTTGTATTGTATTTTCGTTTTTTCTCTAATTTTTCACATTTAATTCGTTTAATATTTCGTAAAAAAATTATTATTTTGCAATCAAAAACAACCAACCAACCACCTCCGCAAAATATATATCAATCAATTTTACTCCACACAGGGAGAGAGAGAGACAGGGCGAGCGAGAGAGAGCCAACACCAAAGACATACAATCGCAAAGATTTGACAAGACGCATTTTCCAATATTAGTGTCAAATTTGTGCTATAGAGGGCTACACATTTTGATGTTCTCTCACCAAAAAATACTTAACAGCAATGTTAATTATTTTGAAAAATATGGTAACCAAAGTAAAGTTTGAGATTGTATGAAATTAAATTATTTTTATTGCGTGCTTTAATTGAAGAATTTAAATCAACTGCCGTGTTCCCCTGCCACAGTTCGTCTTTAACAGTCGTGACCCCCTTTGTCATGGGTGTAATGGTCGAAAATGGTACTGTGAAAGTTGGTACACCGATTTGTGTGCCGAGCAAGGAGTTTGTCGTTATTGGCATTATCACCTCAATCGAATCAAAGAGATTTGGGTTAAAATTGAACCCATACCCGGTGAATCACCAAAAATGTTTGGCCGTCATTTTGAAGCTGGCGATAAGTTGGCCAAGGTCTCGATGCTTGCAAGGATTACTTCCGTGATGATTTAATTAAGGCTGATAGGGCTCTAATGCACAAACTGAAGAACATTTTCCAAATTTTATAAATTGTTTATAAATTTTTAATTTGTTTGCAATATGTTTATTTTTTGTTGATGTGGATGCCTGAAGATTATGATGCGGATTCAAATAATGACCCATGAGTACAAAAACAACAATGCTTTCAGGGTAATGCAAGAGTTTGTAAAGCCGCGACGTGTTGGTCCTAGACCCACCGTTAAGTATACCGATCATATCTCGATTAGCTGAGTCGATCTAGACATGTGTGGCCGTACGTCTGTCCATTATTATTTGTAAACACCCATACAGGCCACAGTTATGGACCAATCTTCACGAAATCCCTATGGTTTTTGGTAAAGATCAGTTGATATTAAGGGGATGAAATGGACCAAATACTTTATTTTTGTCGGTTTTCTGGTCGCTCCAGAGGCTGCAATTCTGACGAATTTTTACACGGAGAATGGGATCGGGGCAAAGAATAAACATGCCAGTTTTAAATAAAGATCGGTCAATATTTAGCGGGTCAAATGGAACCTGATTTTGGTGTGAAAAATGACAAATTTGTGTTCTATAGCGAATAGAGAGGTTGACCTTTAAATTGATACCAATAACAATATTGTCGTATGTACTCGGCTGCGGGAGATACACTTAAGTATTAACAGGTGTTTAGGTTATTCAAATATAATTTAGTAAACCGTTAAATCTACAGACGGACGGACATGCATAAATCGACTCAGAAAGTGATTCTATGCATATTCTCCAAAGGAACCATGTGTCTATCTCCTTTCCTTTCGCATGTCACAAACATATACACAAAGCCAAAATACCCTGTACCACAGTGTGGTGAAGGGTATAATTAGAGAGGAACAACGTCAGAACATAGTATAATGCAATATGCGTATATTTGAACCATTTGAGATCCGTATTACAACATATATAGTCTTATTATATAGTGCACTGAATTTTCCAGTATCCAGATTTTTATTAAGTTCATTGAAATAAGTAGTGAATATATATTCCCTTCTTACGTTTACAAATTTTAATGCTTTTTCGCGGTCTTTCACTATTTACATTGTGTTTTCATTGCATCGGGGGTGTCGTTTAAAAAGATTCTATGACGTAGGAGAAAGTCTTCAAATTACTAAAAACCTAAAATAATAATTATAAATATATAATAATAATTATATATCATAAGTACATACTCTGTTCTTATTGTATATTTAATACATTTCTGTAGCAGCGACAAAAATTCGCCTCGCACATTGTGGAACACATCATATATATTTCCCAAATGTTGCCAGCCATATAAATTGTTTTTAAACTCTCTAGGGCAGGCATGCTTACCCATATAGTATATGGCATATACGCTACCGTAACAAAGGGTCGATTGGTAAACATATTTTCTCTTTCTTTCTCTTTACTATAGACGTTTTTAATGGTGAATTCTCAGTTACGCTCGCACACACTTGCTCTCAATTTAATTTTGCCCAACACTGCTCTAGGGTTTTTTCTGTCACTATTCCATTGCATTTCAGAGAGTAAACAATGTTGAACTCTTTGTAATTAACAGAAAATGTTGTTACGATATCGTAACAACAGAGCAAAAGCCATCTAACGGCCAACTTGGCAATTCAATTGTCCTATCTTTATACTTTTATGTCTTTGACCAACACACAAATAGGTTTAGTTAGATCGATTTTGTGCCAATCGATTGCAACGAAACATCGATTGTAATCGTCAAGGCGTAGTTTTTTCCATGATTAGTCATATCCATCCCTGGATGGTTGGGTATATTTACACCAAATGCGATGTGATAGAAATTAACATTTATTGAAGAAAAACGATGACAGTTTAAACGATGTTTTTATGTTGATCATAATTTTTATAAACAATGAGGTTTTAAGTAATAATTTTTGACTCATTAAATGGTACAAGAAGACTCTTGTATTATCAATAAAATAAATAAATAAATGGTTGGGTATATTTACACCAAATGTGATGTGATAGAAATGAACATTTATTGAAGAAAAAACGATGACATTTTAAACGACGTTTAATGTTGATCTATCACGTTTATGTTGATAAATCGTTCTGTGTAAATACGATGTGTAAATATGATTGGCAAAGAAAAATGAATATTTAAACAATGTTTTAATGTTGATTTATTAAAAATGTTCTAAATAATTAATTTTGAGAACATTTTTTTTTTTGATACATTAAATAGGTCAAGGACTTTTGAATTATGAATAAAACAAATAAAATACGTTCCGTGTAAAAACGCCCTAATCCACGTCTTCAAAGAGGTAAGCACTAGGGTTATGATTTGTTTATGCTCAAAAACGATTTTAAACAGTGGGAATGTATGAATTGTTGCTTATTAATGAATAAAATGCTTTATTCCATTTAATTAATTTAATTGGTCGCCCAAAGTCAATTTCAAAGTGATCTTTCGTGAAAAATTATTTTTTTTTGCTTTTAACGGAAAAAGTATATATTTTTATAACTTCCACCTCATAGAGGAAATCGATGAACATTTTTTATTTACAATTCAATTCGATTGAATTTCTTTGTGGAACCTTTTATGACATTTTTGGTCTGAAGAATCTACTAATTTTTACTATAATCTTATAAAAAAAAACTCATAAAAAATTATACTCAGATACGAGATTGCAAAAATGTCATAACTCTGGGGCGTATTTACACAGAACTTGATTTATAATAAATCATAATTTTTTTAAAGAATACTCTTTTATTAACCCAAAGTAATGGTAGTTTTAAGATTTTTTCTAATCTTATGAAAAAAACTAATAAAAATACGATACTGAGATAAGAGATTGCCAAAATGCCAGAACTCTAGGGCGTATTTACATAGAACTTTATTTGTATTAAATCATCATTTTTAAAGTGTATTCTTTTATTGACCTAGAGAAGCGTGGATTTTTTTAAAATTTTTTTTAGTAAAAAAATTCTCTGGAAATTGTATTTTTAAAAAATTAACTTCTTGTAGATTTTGGAACAGTGCGATGAGTAGTAGTAGAATTTCAAACAATATAACAACGTAATTACTTACCTTCTATACAATGAAATTTACATTATACCGGATTTCGTTAACTCAGTGGGTATAAATTGTCAATACCATTGTATATATATGTCAAAAAAATCTCCATTAAGTACGTTAAACGGCATTTACATTAGAACTTTTTTACCGGGTTAACCTACTTTATGAGGATTTATTTGGCATATATTCAAAGGAATTGACAATTTAAACCCACTGGGTTAACTAAATCCGGTATAATGTAAACGTACTATTAACCCGGCAAAAAGTGCTATGGCATTGCATGTCGTTACCAACGTTTCTTTATCCTTGCCCCAGGAGGTGCCAACCACAATGTTTTCAGAACTTTATTCCTAGCTTTCACTTTCTGATTGATGTAGTTAGAAAGCGAGGAGAAATGAAGGAGGTTAACAAAGACTACCCCAAGGATTTTCGGAAGAATTATCTACCTCCAATGGAAATGTCAAGTTCTAAACATCTGCCGAAGTTTCGCAATATACATATTGAACAATATGGAAGATAGGACACCACATTTCGGTACTCCCATTTTAATCTGATTTCATGAATTAGTAGAATATTATTGTGAAAAAAATATTAGCATTTGCCTCTTAATTTTCGTACTACCGTAACTGATCGTAATTGTCATGTCTAAACGTTTAGTAAGTAGTTACATAGTCCCTCTTTCCTTATATATGGTCTGTTCCCGTACATCAAGAATCTACTCGATTTTACTATTTTCTTCGATATCATAAAGGAAAATTCGTTATCGTAGTAAAAAGTAGTAAATTCTTGCAGTACCGGAACAGATCAATAATGGGAACGGAACTAAAGCGGTGTACACACTAGCATTTTGGAGTGACAGATTTCTTTTCATCGATTACTGAGTGTCCAACAACCATGAATATTTTTGTTGTTACCTGATGAATGATAAATATGAGAGATGACACTATGAAATAGCAAAATTTGGTCAGAAGTGTCATTCAAAAGTGCTAGTGTGTATACACTGTTTAAGATACAATGACAAAGGACAGTTAATGCGGTCATCCAGGGAGAACAGCTGATTCTCGATTTTCTGTGAAAATCCATTATTTGGGAATTGACTCCATATTATGAAAACGTAAACAACGTTCAAATAATTGACATTTAACAGCTGTTGATGACAAAACGTCTTTTACTTTCTCGGCGACGTTATTAGTAGGTCTTGGTTGTATACAACGCATGATGCAATCATATATCAATTCCACCGTGTTTGGGGTGGAATTTAAAGTGGCATGAGACACTGAGTCTATGTTGCCACCTTCACGGGTATTCATATATGCCCTAATATTATTAGATTTTAGTATTATATCGATTGAATGTTGATAAATTCCGAGTTTTTGTAGATTTTGCAATAAAGAATGTCTGGTATCGTCTGCCATATATACTTCCATTCCATTTTTCTTGCCAAGATCTGACTGCCGAAGATTTGTCGTTTTGTCTCATGTCAGATGAACATAATTTCGGGTAAGAATCGGTTGGATTATGGTTAGTGACAATGGAGTCCACATACTCGTTACCATCGATGCCGCTATGGCTAGGCACTCATAGAAAGTGTATAGTGTAGGCCTCCCTAGACATTTGGTAAACCTGCTCTTTTATTCAGTAAATAAAGGGATGGATATTTATGGAGTTTTGGGATCCAATGGCCTGAAGGACTGATTTGCTGTCAGTGATGAGTACATATTTCCCAGGATCACAGGTTTTGATGAGCATTAAAGCTTCAACAATTGCATAAGCTTCGGCGGAGAAAATAGAACAGTGATGTCCAACGAAGGCATCCATAAGGCACAGCTGGTTTTGTCTGCAGTTTTTGAACCGTCAGTGAATATGGATTTGAAATCGGGAAATTTAGTATGCATGGTGTTATTGTATATATTAACAATGTCTGATGTTGTCGATCGATTCTTAAAGATGTCCAGAAATGTTATGTTTGGGAGTAGAAGGATGGCTTGAAGCGGATAGTTATATTGAATAGGTCGATGTATGATGCAATCTTAAGATGATGACAAAATATCTGTTTTTTTATTTGACCATCTGTCATATTTTATCAAGTAATATTTCTCATAGTTGGCAATATTGTACGTCGAATTCAAGTAGAAATTACGCATTCTGACAGTTAATCGAGACATCAGCTGCGCTAAATGGACTATCTACTTATTGTACCATGGTGATGACAAAACATCTGTTTTTATTTGACCATCTGCCAAATTGTATCTAGTAATATTGCTCATGGTTGGCAACACTGCACGTCGAATGCAAGTATAAATTATGCACTTTGACAGTTAATGGGAGATAGTCAGCTGTGCTAAATGGAGTACCTATTTATAGTACCATGATACAACCCAAAGTTACATGGTGAACTGTGTATTAGAATGTCAAAGCATTTTTAACTAGAGTGGATTCACAGCCTACGATATTAATGGAATATAATAAAATGAGGAAATTTCAGTTTAATTTTCGCTTCAAAATATTACAAATAAAAGAAGTATATAAAAAAAGAAGATTATTTAGCATTTGCATCTTACTTTTACTTTTGTAAATGATTTTTAATTAAATATATATTTTTTTATTTACGTTTTATTTTTATAAATTTAAATTTCTTTGGTTTTTTTGTTGGTTTGTATTTTTTATAAAGAAAAAAAATTACTAAAGCATTTTCTTGTCAATATATATATATATATATAGTATAGTATATAATTAAATATGTATGTACGTTTCTTTTACAGAGATTGTTAATATGCAAATATAGATAGAAATATATTGAGAGAGATAGGATAAAAATTAGCTCGATTTCTAAGAAGACATGCAAAATACTACATGAGGGGGGGGAATTGATTTTTTTCATTGAAAATTTTTGGTTTTCTTATTACATTGGTTTGGTTTTCTTTTTTGAATAGAATAATTAATTTAGTATAAGAGATAATAATACCATTATGTTGTGGATAGGATTTAGTTTTTTTTTTTTTTTTAAATAATGATAAAAGCGTTTGAAATAAATAGCCTAGGGGGGATTATAAATTTCCTTATAGCTATGCACCTTTAGGGGGGATTTTTTTAAGTTGCTTTGCTTTTTAATGAGTAGTGTTTTTTGTTTTGAATATAACCGTCTATTTCTCTCTTTTTAAATACATACGTACTTGGTATTTTTTTGGTTTTTTTCCTTTAATGATTATGATTTAGCATTAGCAATACATTTTACATGTACAATAACTATTGGTAATTTGTTTATAACTTAATTAAATGTATATATTCTATAATATAATTTATTTTTTACTTTTATTTTTTTTTGTTGTACTCAGGACTACAATTATAAACAACCATTGAGGTAATATTTGTTAAGCTCTACGTTCCACAAAATATTTTTTTTTAAATATGTATATATAATTTTTTCAAATGTAAATAATAATAATAATTTATATAAATTGTAGTTTTTAAGAAATGTTTTTTATGTATGTATGAATGTATATATTATATATATATGGTGTATAGGATAGTTAGATTGATATATACTTGATTGAGATTAAGAGAAAAAAAGTGTTAATGGGTGGATGTTGTGTTACTGATTTTTTTAAATACTGTTGATACTTTGTTTTTTGTAAATATATACTTAGTACATATGTAGTTATGTTATACACACACATGAAAGTTGTTTTTTTATTAATAATGATACAAATTCTAATAATAATGTTATCCAGGAAGATCAGCTGACTAAACTGTAAATCAGCTGACTCAACTGTAAATCAGCTGACTCAGCTGTTGTTATTGTGAATTACGAAAATCATAATTTTTGCAGTTAACCTAAAGGTCTAAACAGCTGTTTTCCTCTTCCTGGTTAACCTTATTAATAAATATTGTAATAATTATGATCAAAATTCCAAAAAAAAACTAAGGTTTCCAAAAAATTAAATAACAACACAAAATGACAACAATTCAATAATAACATTCATTATTTTTTGGTATATATATGTAGTTACTATATATATTTCTTTGACAAAGAAGATAAACATACACATCGAACATCAAAAATCTCCTTGCTTGCTTTTTTGTTACCATTATTGTTGTTGTTGTTAAGAAAAATATGTAAAAAACTTAGAATTTAAAAAAAATCGAAATGTGTTTTAAATGTAGAAAAATGACCATATAAACATTGAAATACTGCTGTTTTTGTTGTGGCGACTTTTGCTGCTGTTGTAAGCCTTGCATATAGCGTGTAACAGTAGTGAATAATAATCAAAAAAGTAAAAATGAGACTCGCGTTCTTCTTGTATCTCCTTTGGCTCTGCGGGCCATACCGTAATGTCACCCAGTTATGTCACTGCTATTGCTTGTACCCTTTGAATCCATGGCACCGGCAGCTAAAAGGAAATGCCATTTATATTTTTTTTAGTTTTGAATAAAAATTTATTATTGTTATTACAACATACCTAAGTCATCACCATGCATTGAGGATGTTAGACCCCCAGTAATACTATTAAAGTCCAGATTGTACTAGAAAAGAAGAAGAAAAATTCGATTAATAAATGTATATGTCAAAATCGTTAATTAAGTTATCAAAGTAAATGTAATGCCATTATCGATCTATATAACCCTAGCATGTTTACAAGTAATGTCAATAGAGGCCTATCAATAAGGTCATGATGCAATAATAAGGTGATGTATCTAAAACAAAAACCTTTATTTTTATCTCGATTATCTGTCAAATTTTTCCATATAATATTTCAAATGGTTGGTAACACTGCACATAGAATTCAAGTAAAAATTACCCACTTTGACAGATAATCAAGACATCAGCTGCGCTAAATGGACTACCTATTCTTTGTGCCATGAATAAGGTAATCCACATGGCACAATAAATAGGTAGTCCATTTAGAGCAGCTGATGCTCGATTAACTGTCAAAGTGTGTAATATCTACTTGAATACGATGTGCCATGTTGCCAACCATGTGAAATATTATAAGGGAAAATTTGGATCGTCATCTGAAGAAACACGAGGAAGAATCCACCGGACTGGCCATTAGTGATTCGCCGTCGTCAAATGAGAGACAAAAAACATTGACTTTTGTTTTATTATTATTATTTGTTATTATTATTGCATCATGGTAATCCAGGCAGACCAGCTGAATGTCAGTTGCCTCTCAAGTTTACTGTTAAAATTCATTATTGTGAATTGACTTCCATTATAAAAACGTAAACAAAGTCCAATATTTTGACATTAGACTTGAGAAAAAAAGCTGACTTTCGCTAGCTGGATGACCTTATTAATAGATCTTGAATGTCAATATTGAATCTCTGCAACCATGTCATGTGCGTTATTAGAGGAAAAAAGTAACATTAAAGCGCGTTTAGACTATGTTATTTGTTTATTTGGTTCGATTTATAAATAGAGAAGCTATAATATAGCATAGTATTACAATTATATAAAACTGTCAGTCAGCTGATAATTAAACGGTGTACACACTAGCACTTTTATGTGGCAGCTTTTTTTTTTATCGATTACTGACTGTCTGTCCAACAACCATGAATATTTTTGTGGTTGCCTGATGAATGATAAATATGAGTGGCCACGAGAGGACTTTCGCTTGGATTGGATGACCTTATTAATAGATCTTGAATGTCAATATTGAATCTCTACAACCATGTCATGTGCGTTATTAGAGGAAAAAAGTAGCATTAAAGCGCGTTTAGACTATATTATTTTTTTATTTGGTTCGATTTATAAATAGAGGAGCTATAATATAGCATAGTATTACAATTATATAAAACTGACAGTCAGCTGATACTTAAGCGGTGTACACACTAGCTTTTTTTATCGATTATCTGTCCAATAACCATGAATATTTTTGTGATTGTCTGATGAATGATAAACATGAGAGGCCACACTAATAAACAAGCAAATTTTGGGGCAAGTATTCTAGTGTGTACAGCGCTTTATTTACGTGAAAGCATGTTATAATTATTAAAATGTATAGAATAGCTAGCCTTCTGATTACATTTTTTTTTTCTTCTCAAGGTGGCTTGTTCTGTCAAATCAAAAGCTCATATTTTGTGTATGTGGGTATATTCTTTTGAATATCATTTTAAATAAATTCAAAATAAATTGAAATATCTCCACATATATTTGACAGAAGAAGCCACCACCTACATAATTGATTTTTTGTTATTCACCTTAAGTTGTCCCACCTTGGAATATTGTACCATGCGTGAATGGGTGTAAAAATAGTGTTGTATTTGAAATTATTTCGATTTAGCACAGGATTTAATTTTGCTAATAAATAGATAAACTGACTTCTGATGACACCTAAACAAATTTCGAACCAAATCCGAACAAACAAACAAATTTACAATTTTTTCCGATGTTTGTAAATTCCGGACCATTTTCATGCCAATAATTTCGGATAATTTCGTTTGAATTCTGAGCTTTGGCAAGAAAAGACCGATTTGATTCAATTTTCAGAGACAATTTGGGCCAAAAACATTTTCCTGGAACGGAAATACTGTTCCGAACTTTGTCTTTTTTCATATACTGGCAATTCAATTCAAAAATTATGTATTTTAATAAAAAACCTTAGTAAAAAGCTGATATTCCTGCTTTGCCTTATAGTGTAAAACCGACGCAACAAAATATGATTAAAATCGATAACCATTCGATTGTCATAGCACGTTCACATTTTTCTGGATTTCCTTAACCCAGTGGGTTTAAATTGCCAATTCTTTTGAATATATGCCAAATATATCCTCATATAGTAGGTTAACCCAGTAAAAATGTCTATTGTAAATGCCGTTTTAATTCTATAGTCTATACCTAAAGTAAATTCTATTTATAACTTTAGTGCATTTTATTCGACATATACGCTATGAAATTGTCATCTAACATCCAGTGAGTTTCCTAAGTCTAAATGTACCTTGACATTCCCCAAATCAGCTGTTTCGGGGATTAACATAATGTTATTTTTTATTATAAAATATTTAATCAATTGAAAACCAGTGCTAATATCTGAACATTATGTGTAATCAAAATCGAATATTTCATAAAAATCTAACCAGGGTCTAATGACAAAGTTGTCCAGGGAGACCAGCTGGATATCAGCTGCCTCTCAAGTTTCCTGTCAACCTTCATTATTGTGAATTGACTATACATTATGCAAATGTAAACAAAATTCAAATTTTTTGAGAAAACAGCTGACTTTTGTTAACTGGATGACCTTATTAATAGCTCTTAATCTAATCCATGGCACAATGAATAGGTAGTCCATTTAGCACAGCTGATGTCTCGATTAACTGTCAAAGTGGGTAATTTCTACTTGAATTTGATGTGCAGTGTTGCCAACCATGTTAAATATTATAAGGAAAAAATTTTGACAGATGGTCGAGACCAAAACAAAGGTTTTTGTTTTGATACATCACATTATTATTGCATCGTGATCTAATCGATAATTTAATAGAGATCACCTGTTCGTTTTTTGTCAATGACAAAAACCACAATACAGTACACTAAATAGGTACTCCACTTAGTGTAGCTGACTATCCGAATAACTGTCAAAATGCATAGTTTCTATTTGAATTCGTTGGGCAATGTTGCCAACCATGAGAAATGTTACTACATAGATATAGATTTGGCAGTTGGTCGAATAAAAAACAGATGTTAAACTAATAAAATATTATCTTATAGATTTTATCCAGCTTTATAACTTAATATATTCCCACTTATATTATGTTTACCAGATTACACTATTTTACTATTCAAACATTGAATACGAAACGTGCGATTTTTTATATTTTATTGCAAGAGCAAAAGTAAAGTTTTTTACGCCCAGAAAAGGGTAAAAGATAGGTAAAGACACGTTTAGACTATGCCTTCTAAATCGACTCGATTTGTAAAGCGAGATATCAAATCCGAACTGTTTAGGCTAGTATAAAATTGGTACACATATACATTTCACTGCTTTCCTATAATTTTAGCAGCTGACATATTTTTTATTAAGCAGTTATTTTTTAAGGCATATTTTATGGAGAAACGATTTTTTTTTTGGCTCAAAAACAGGGTTGTATTTGAAATTATCTTGATTTAGCATAGGATTTCGAGCAAATCGAAAAATTTAGTGGATTTAATTTTGTATGTTAAATCACAATATTGAGTGGATTTAATTTTGTATGTTAAATCGAGGTAAATTTAGCTCAATACACTTTATCACGATAAAAGCTATAGTCTAAACGCGCCTAAATAATAATTTCATAGTATAAATACATCTCTGTGAACCAAAACACAACTCTGGTAAATAATTGTATGTCTTTTGATTCTACTTACCTTTGTAGCACATTCTAGGCACTTTGTCACAACACTATTGATAACACACATGAGGTTTTTCGTTTCCCTGATAACATGATCCACCTTAACATATGTGGCCGATGGACCCACTGTATGATCTTTGACAGTAAACTGTAATGTTTGTACAAATGTGGGTACACGATCTAGGACATTGAGTAAATCTTTTTTGTGTGGACTTGCGGGGACCTGGGAAACATAAAAAAATATTTAAAATTTATAATAGAATATTAAAAATAATAAATAATAATTTAATACATTTTAAAAACTTCAAGTAAAGTAGATTACACACTATAAATAATATTTTAAAAAATTTCAAGTAAAATAGATTACACACTATCATTATTTAATGACAGTTCTCTCCGTAATTTATTTGACAGAGTGGATGTTTTATATTGTCAGTTTCAGGGGATTTTCTGAATCCCTTTTCTTTACAATATTTTTCATTTGACACGTTTTTTTTTAATAAATTTATCCATAAGCCGCCAGTTTGGCAGTCAGAAATCGTTAAAAGACTGCCATTGAAAAAATATATTCTGTACTGGCCACTGTCAGATTGGATTGTCTTTTTTTATGGATTTTGTGAATGGTCAAACAAACAAACTTTAAGCTAAACTGTCAAATAAAATCAATAGTGTGTACGCTACTTTAAAATCAGCTGTTCAGCATAGTCAGAAATAGATAAAAATATCATTAAAATATCTCATAATCAGCTGTTTTCTGAAATTACCTTATCAGCTGTTTTGTCATGATTTTCGCACTTACCTGATAGGAAAATTGTCTTAATATTTTATATAGACGATTGGCTTCTTCAGCAAAATATTCAGCTTGTGTAAACAAATCCTGGGTAGTTTTCAGTGAACCATTTCCCTTGGTAAATTGATACATTAAAAATGCCATAGCTGAAAGATTTTTCGCACGTTTAATTATGTCATTGTCACATAATTCTTCATTCCAGCGAGGTTGTAAATCGCGTTTAACAGCATCGGCCTCCAAATCTAATTCCTTACTCGGCTCGGGTAAATCTTTGGGGAAATTAACCGTTTTTGTTGGTTTTGCAATATCCGATACTGATGCGGCAGAGCTCTAGAGTAGGGGTAGAGAAAGAAAAATTATAATAAAAGAGATAACTTTAAATTTATTCTACTTTATATTTTTATATTGTAATCATTAATACAATATTATAATAAATGTTATGGCATTAAAAGAAATATAACGAGAGCCCTTTGAAAATTACGTTTTTTATACTATTTTTATTAAAATGTGTGTAATATAAACACTGTAAACCCATCAATATAGTGTAAAAAAGGCAAAACACAGAATCAGCTGTTTCTTGAATGTCAATAATCCAATATGTCTTAACGGTCAATGGTGTACCCATAGCACAATAAATAGGTAGTCCATTTAGCGCAGCTGATGTCTCGATTAACTGTCAAAGTGCGTAATTTCTACTTGAATTCGATGTGCAATGTTGCCAACCATGTGAAATATTATTATTGACAGATGGTCGAGACAAAAAAAGGTTTTTGTTGTGATACATCACCTTATTATTGCATCATGGGTGTACCAAATACTGTTGGAATTAAGGTATAATAACAAGGACATCTAGTAAGTGCAGCTGCTACTCAAGTTTGCTTCAATTAAAAAACGTCAATATTTTTTACATTAGTCTTGAGAAAAGCAGCTGATTTTCGCTTTCCGAGTGATCAGCTGAAAAATCTATATCGAAAGTGTTCAAAAAAGTTCACCCAGCATGTCAAAGTCAGCTGTTTTCTTTTCAAGTCAAATGTCAAAAATTTAGACTTTGTTGACGTTTTCATAATGGAAATCAATTCACAATAATGGATTTTTACAGCAAACTTCGGGAGCAGCTGATATCCAGCTGATCTCCCTAGTTGACTTTACTAATTTTGCTTGACACCTGTATTGTGTAGAACCGCCCAAGCGAATAAGAATAACCTTCAGCAGCGCCAGCTGTTTCTGAAATTTCCTAAAACAGCTGTTTTCGTTTGCTGAACTACCTTAAGGTAGAATTAGTTATGACATAACCATGACAAAATAAAAAAATGCTCCAGTTAGTGCAACTGTCAAAGTGCATAATTTCTAGAAATATTACTAGAGAACATTTGACAGATGACAGTCGAATAAAAAAATTTTATTGTTTTGATACAATCAAATCATTGTACAATCAATCAGCTGATCAAACCAAAACTACTGTATTCGAAGTATGCGACTGCTATGTTCCTATTCAAAAATCCGGTACAGTGTAAACGTACTATTATGATTATTCTAATTCTACCTTTAATAGAAGGCCTTCGTATGTGAAAGCTGAGATCTAGGAGGCATAAGAAAATACAAATACTATAATCATATACTTACACTTCCAAATGTCAGGTACTTTAAATCTTGTTCACTTATTACCGCCATCGATTCCAATATCTTTTTAGCCACCACATTCACCTCGGACACTAACCATGTCCACATTTCCACAAATGCATCAAAATTCTCACTGGCCACATTACTCAAGGGGAATTTAGTTAATATTTTGGCAGCTAGAATAACTTGAGGTCCATAGATGCGTAAATTTATCGATACATGACTAGCCTGTTCCTTGAGAGCATCCTGCACGGCAATGTGACGCAGCAGCTTACACACATCCAAAATATGATCACAATGCTCGTGAAATTCATTCACTTTCTGGGTGAATTGTGGTAAATTCTGTTGTGATATTATGGCATTAAGGGAGTTCACCAATTCCGTGGACATTTTCAGAGCGTGAAACATATCACGCGACTGTTCGGCTGCCGATGTGACCAATTGTTCGGATAACGTTTTGACGGCAGACAATACCGTATCGATATACTCATCCTGATACGGATCTTTGGCATATGGCTGATCGCCTTGTTTCACCACAATGCGTAGATATTTATTCAGCTCACGGGTACAGTGATCGCAGTAGATTAAAATACTTTCACGCATTTCATGACTGGTATAGGGTGAGTCGGTAAAATCATGGATGTTCTCCAAGATTCTATCGAATGAGATTAGCAGTTTTTCAATGAGATCTTCACAAACACAGGATTGATTGATTGTCGTCTTATATTTGGGACTGCCCGAGGCGGAGGAGGAGGAATATTCATCCAGGCCGTAGCATTCGTTGAGCAGACGTTCGCCCTCCGGCAGTCCTGTGGCATCGTATAGCTTCGTTTTGGTTTTATTGTCATGTGTTGCAGCTGATGTAACCCATCGTCGCTCCAAGGCCTTTTTGCGATACGAAGAGTTGTGATTGAATTTCGAATTCATGTAGGGATCACCGACGCCACCACCATGTTTATTCGTTTTATAGCGGCAACACTGCATCAGATAGGTAAAATGTTGTATGGTGGCATGTATGGTGCCACGGTCATCGTTGTTGTAATAGGAATACTGTTGCTGTTTCGTAGAATGCCATTCCGATTCGATGATAGTATCCTTGATAATGAAATGTATGTGATCCATACCACGTCGTATTTGACAAAATACGGTGTTGCGATTCTCCCGGGCAATTACACAATTATAGTGGACCATACACACCTTCGAGGAGGTGATCAAGACTTTTACCGAATGCTCTAGCACCTGACGAGCTGAGAGTATTTCGGCACGTCGTCGCTCCTCTTTGGCACAATTGGCATTACTACCCGTCAAATAGGTCATCTCTACCATTTCTGTACCGAACGCGGAGAAGGCTTGTACAAATTTGGTAAAATTCATAACACATTCCAAATTCTGTGGACATTTGCTATCCTTATATTTGAAGCTGAACAGCTGTTTGACCACAATGATATCGACCAGTAAGAGGACTCGTGTTATGGAGGTTAGTAATGAACGTGATGCCAGCACAATGGCTGTATGATCCACATAGGGTTTGGGTACACCAGCACTGTCGTGTATTAAATCGCCAGATATACAAAGTTGTTCAATCGATTTCCCTGGGGAAGAAGACAGAGAGAGAAAGAGAGAGAGGAGAGAAAAATGTTTATTAGGTAAAAAATATTTCATAAAAGGATGTACACACTAGCGAACAGGGGTAAAATTTAATAATTCTTAATTTTTATTTAATTTTTTAATCATGAGATTAGCTGTCAAAATATACAATTTTCATTTTAAAATAAAATTTTGTTTTGATTCCCCGTGTTTGTAATGTTGACAAACATGAGAAATGTCAAATTAAAATATGAAATTAAAATTTAAAAAAAAAAACTGACCTAGAGATCCCTAATGTGATATTTACTAAACAGCTGTTTTTATAGAGCGCGTTTAGACGATCTCAAACGCCAATTTTTTACGTCAAACGTCAATCTTCTTGTGTAATCGAGTGTTATCGCTTTATTGACCTAGAGATCCCTAATGTGATAGCCACTAAACAGCTGTTCTCTTAAGAAGCTTTGTTTTTTTTTGACATTAGATTTATGGCTTATGTTTATGAAAGTATAATTAACAGTACCCTACAAATAATCCTCTCAATTCAGCTAGTGTGTGCGTGTGTACGTTCTCTGTCAAACTTACCCGTATCTCTTGCATCCTTGCAACACTCAAACATATCACCTTTAATATCCTGAAAACCCTCAGCAATTATTTCTCCAATTGTTACCAAACGATCAACGGACATATTAACCGCTTGCCCAACTCTCTTGTAGGCCATTAATTTTTGTTCGCCACTCATTTCCAAATGTCGGGGAGAAGTTAACTATACAAATAATTCAAAACAAATGTGGTTAGATATGTGCTATTAACGCTTTTAAGTAGAGGTCGTACTTACCGGCTCTAAATTATTTGCAGAAATCATGATGCTGATGTTTGCTTTCTTTTATCTTTGGTATCCGTGTTTGGGCTTTATTTTTCGTAACTTTAGAGCAAACTCTCCATGCTTTTTTGTTTTGATTTTCCTTATCCAGAGGGTTTTGGACTATACACTTGGCATGTGATCAGACCCTTGTGCTGTGATGGAAAGTTTGCTAGGGGAAAATATACAAATGATTTGATTAGAAATCGGAATAACCTAAAAAATTACTGTGTCTGATTTATCGAAGAGGGAGATATTTGAGAGCACATTATTAGGGTTTGAAAAAAAAGAAAACAGTCTTGAAAGTATACAAATTAATTCATGACCGATTTTGATCAGAACTCTCTCTTTTTTTTTACCGAGCCATTCGATAAATTTGTAAAATTGATACATTTATAATTGATATGATCTGGCGCCCAACATATCACAAGTAGATTTAACATGAAATGAAATAATTACTCCAGCTTGAATATAAATTTGATTCGGGAGCAAATCGAGAGGTACAGGTGTCAGAATGAAGTCAGGAAATTTTACCAACGAGTAAAACGCCAAACCGAAGGCTTTAGTGCAGGCACATCCTCCTGTATAGATGAAGATGGTGACAGATACAGACAGCTTGTTGAGAATCTGGAAGAAGCGTTCTGCAAAGCTTCTGGTATCAAATAGTGACGGTGAAGAAGATACCCCAGAACCAATAAGAGATGACGGTATAGAGTATATAACACCTAGCCAAGATGAGGTCAGAATAGCAATCAGAATAAAGCAGCAAGTGCCGATGTCTTACCAGTCGAACTATTTAAGACCGGTGGTCAGATGCTAGTCAGGAGCATACACCAGCTGCTTAGTACAATTTGGCTAGAAGAATGCATGTTCAACGTTTGGAACCTCAGCATCCTGTGTCCGTGAACAAAAAGGAGGCAAGACGATATGTGCCAACTATAGAGGAATTAGTCTTCTACCCATCGCATATAAAGTGCTATCCAGCGTACTGTGTGAACGACTGAAGCCAATGATATTATTGGACCTTACCAATGCGGCGTCAGACCTGACAAATCCACCATAGACCAGATTTTCACTCTGTGCCAAATCATGGAGATGACCTACGAAAAACATATCGACACATTCCACCTTCTCGACGACTATAAAGCCGCATTCGACAGCCCTATCCATTCAGAGGTGTTTAAATCCAAGTCTGCGTCCGGCATTCCTGCAAAATGAATACGGCTATGTAGGATAACTTTCAGACAAGGTGACAGTTAACATCCTGCTGGAAAGGGTCATACGAGACGCAAAGGTGAACAGAAATAGCACTCTGTACACCAAACAACACATGTTACTCGCCTACGCCGATGACATCGATATAATGGGTCGAACATTGCGTGCGGTAACAGCCACCATTGAACAAATTTGAGAACAAATTGGCCTTAGTGGGTCTGGCAGTAAATGGCGAGAAGACCAAGCAGATGGTATCAACGCAGAAGACGTCCAGTAGACGACAGAACTACAGCTTCTAGGTAGTCAACGATTTTATATACTTTGGTACCGCCATAAATAAAACTAATGACATCAGTTTTGAAATGCGGAAAAGGATAGTGTTGGCCAACAGATTTTACTATGGTCTAAGTAAACAAGGTCACCTCTAGCCAGACCAAACTCGAGCTGAGTGTGGCTCTCCCAGATTGGGAAGGCCACGAATCGCACAATACCGACGTGATTGGAAATCTTTTTTAAGATTTCTGAAGCTAGCCAAGTAAGTAAATAGCTAAATTTGTTACGTATTTTTGAAGCCTCCTTGTTACCTAGAGTAATAACATCCAACAGAATTGCGCCCAACATTTCCGAAAGTAGTAGTAGACAGCTAAACTGAATAGATTAAGATTGTAGAATAGTGGAAACCCCAAAAAAGGATATCATTTTAAACCAGATATGGCGCCCAACATTTCCTAAGATTGTTGTCAAGTTAAACTGGTTAGATTAGATGGAGTAAAATAGTCGAAAACCTAAGGTGCTTAATGAAATAAAATAAACCAATACAATTTTATGTAAACCAAATTTGGCGCCCAACATTTATGAGTGTTGTTAGTTAGCTAAACCGATAGCTAAATTGTATAGATTAAATGAAATAGAATTGTCAAAACCCCTATGTTCCATAGATAAATAAAATGAGCCAACACAATATCCTCCTTTGAACCAGATGTGGCGCCCAAAATTTTTGAGTGTTAGATACCTAAACAATACTGTTTCCTAGAGAAATATGATCCAACCGAATGATCCTGTTAACTAAATATGGCGCCCAACATTTGTGAAGGTAAGTAGATAGCTAAATAGATTAAATGGAGTAGAATTGTCGAAACCCCTATTTTCAATAAAGAAAAAAAATTAACCAACACAATATCCTCCTTTGAACCAGATGTGGCGCCCAATATTTTTGAGTTTTGTTAGATAGCTAAACTGATTAGATGCAGATGGATCAATATTGTCGAAGCTTCTTTGTTCCCTAGAGAAATTTGATCCAACCGAATGAATCTGTAAACCAAATATGGCGCCCAACATTTCGGAAGGTAAGTAAATATCTGAACTGGATAGATTAAATGGAGTAGAATTGCCGAAACCTCTATGTTTCATAGAGAAATAAAATGAACCAACACAATATCCTTTAAACCAGATGTGGCGCCCAACATTTTTGAGTGTTTTTAGATAGCTAAACTGGTTAGATGGAGATGGATCAATATTGTTCCCTAGGGAAATATGATCCAACCCAATGATCCTGTAAACTAAGTATGGCGCCCAAAATTTCCCAAGGTAAGTAGATAGAAAAATGGAGTAGAATTGGAGTAGATATATAAAATGGAGAATAGAAACCCATATAAAGTCGAAGCCTCTTTGTCCCCTAGAGAAATATGCTTCAATACAATATCCTGTAAACTAGTTATGGCGCCCAACATTTCTGGAGGTAGTTATCATGTTAAACTGGTTAGATTAGATGGAGTTATATAGTCAAAGTCCTTACGTTCCCTAGAGAAATAATATTTTGATATGGCGCCCAACATTGAAGTTAGAGAGCTGAATATGGCGCCCGATGTATTCAGCTAAACTTGTATTTAAAACTAAACTAGTACGGTGAAAATCCCTAGATTTCCTAGAGACATATCATGAACTAACATAATTTAGTTAGAAAGCTAAAATGGATAGATTAGATTGAGTAGTATTATCGATCAGCTCAAGCAAGCGCTTCGCCGGTAATGGGCGCAGAGCAACATTCGGGCAGCGTGTGACAGTTTCATTAGCCGGTTTCCGGGCTCAGGGGGAGAGGCACGGAGGATATGACAGAGTACCTATAATCCCTGAGCTGACGAGGCGAGAATGGCGTCCCTAAATAACCATCAAAGGTCTGGGTCACTACCTCTTAAAGTGACCCCCCCCTAACGCTGTGCTATCATGCGACCTAATGCTCATCAGCGTTCTATGGTTTGCAGTCAGGATCCACTGTAACAACATTTTTTAAGTGTTTTTAGATTGCTGGCGCCCAACTGTAAAATAGACATGGCGCCCAACATTTCTGAAGGTAGTTACATTTTCCGCCTTCGAGGAGCAGAGCTGAATGCTAACGGACGCGTCCACATATTAGCTATTTATTTAGAAAGCTGAAATGGACAGATTAGATTGAGTAGTATTATCGATTAGCTCAAGCAAGCGCTTCGCCGATAATGGGCCAAAAAAGCGCAGATCAACATTCGAGCAGCGTGTGACGGTTCCATTGGCCGATTTCAAGGCCATAATTCGTGCCAAAGGTGACTAAATTCGAACAAATCTAAATTTATTCTAAAATTTAATGCTATTTCCGATATTTTTTGCTTTCATTCAATAAAATTAAAAAAAAAATAGAATATCAAAATTATGGCGTTTGACTTTGTTGCAGTTTTTTATCTCACCCTGTAATATGTCAAATAAATCCTCATAAAGTTAGGTTAGCCCTGTAAAAAGTTATAATGTATATTCCGTTTAAGAGGAATAAGGAAGCTGTCGTCTAGTTTTAAGGTAAACATTTTTCTTGAGACAAAGTTCCGTTTTATGGTCTCTCTATGGGCAAAATATATTTTTATTTCCCCCGATTTCTTTTAATTATTTATTGAATACGATAAGCCAACTAGTCCTTAGGTCATACCTCTTGCCTATATAAATTATTCAAATATTTATACTAGTTTTTACAATGAACACTTATTACGAGAGAAACAGGGAGAGAGAGAGAGTGAGAGGGGTTAAGTGCTGTTGTTATTTTGTTTTTTTTTTGCTTTTAACCAAACATAAGAGGTCATCTAATAAATACGCAAATAATAAATATTTCATAGCAAACAAATACTGCTGCTTTGACAAGCACAAGCAAGCAAACAAACACAACAACAACAAGAATAGCAGCAACAACATTGAACTTAGGTTAGACAAGGTTAGTTGTTGTTGTTTAGCATGTTTATTCTTGGCACTTATTAATATATGTAAATCAACGAAGCCATCAGCCATCATCCCAGTGATGGTGATACAGAGAGAGGGAGAGTGAGAGAGAGAGTGCAAGAGTAACAACAGTAATTTGCTTTGTTATTTTCTATTTTGTTGTTGTTGTTTGAGAAAGGGAACAATAGCACACAAACACACACACACACAACAACAGCAGCAGCAACATCTTTTGTTTTAAGGTTTGCAGAAACCACTTTCCGAACAAGAGCAATCTTGAATAAAATTGAAAAAAAGCAAGAATGGAAGAATGTAAAAAAAGGCCAACAACTTGCCTGCCTGCATGCACATCGAATCGTAGCATATCGCATATATTGGCAAACTGTAATATCACATTAGAAAATTCCATCATTTGCTCTTGAATTGATGGATTTATTATGATTGT